CACAAGGCTCTTACCGTGCACAAGGACAGGGGCATCCGGCCGTTCTCAACTTTGACTGCACCTGAGAATCCCCAGGGGAGCTTTTTTTTGGTTTGTTTTTTTTTTTGAGACAGAGTCTCACTGTGTTGCCCAGGCTAGAGTGAGTGCCGTGGCGTCAGCCTGGCTCACAGCAACCTCAAACTCCTGGGCTCAAGCAATCCTCCTGCCTCAGCCTCCCGAGTAGCTGGGACTACAGGCATGCGCCACCATGCCTGGCTAATTATATATATATTAGTTGGCCAATTAATTTCTTTCTATTTATAGTAGAGACCGGGTCTCGCTCTTGCTCAGGCTGGTTTCAAACTCCTGACCTCGAGCAATCCGCCCGCCTCAGCCTCCCAGAGTGCTAGGATTACAGGCGTGAGCCACCACGCCCGGCCCCCAGGGGAGCTTTTAACGATCGGGACCCAGGCCACACCCCAGACCAGTGAAATCAGAATCTCTGGGGGCGTTGTCCCCAAATCAGGAGTTCTGCTGAGTGCCACCAGGGTAGGGAACCACTGAGTTAGAGTCCTCCTCCCCCAAATGTGGACACGGAAACTCTCGGGAGGAGGGGGCACGGGGAGGTTGACAAAATGCAGATTTTGATTCGGGGGGGGGGTGTCTGGTTTTAGGTCCCCAGGCTCTGCTTTTCTAACACGTTTGCAGAGGATGCTGGTACCTGCAAAGGAGCGGGAACACGCGCAAAGCTCCCTCGGGTCAGGGATTGTGGTTCTTGCGCCCTCTGGTGGCCAAAACCTCCCTAGCAGCGCCCTGCAGAGAAGAACTGACGTTGGAAGCTCTCTGGCCAACAGGTGTCATTTCTGGAGTATTTACAGACGTGTCCCCCAGAGCCCAGCCGGTGGACACCTGGGTTTCAGCTTTTTTAACCTGAGCAGAGCCCAGCCAAGCTTGCTCAGACCCCTGACCCACAAAACTTTAAAGATAATGCACGAGTGTTGTTTTAAGCTGCCAAATTGATGGCAATGTGTTGTGCAGCGATAGAATACAATGGGGCTTACAATAGCAGGGGAGAATCCCAAACCCAGCGACTCTGCACAACGTGTCTACACTAGCTCAGGCACAGCCAGGTCTGTTCCCAACCTCCTGCTTTGCTGGAAGAGGAGGCAGAATGGATTGTACTTCTCTTGCATCAAGATTATACTCGCCGCCTCATTTCTTCATGACTGCTTATTTTTCACTTTAAATGTTTGCTGTTACTGCCTCTGGTGAAAGCTCTTGGGGGTTGGTGGCGGGGGTTGTTTGCTGTCTGTGGCAGATTGTGTTTTCCCAAGATGGACACACCAACGTGTCACATCTCACATGCCCTCCTTACAATATGACCTTGACCCTCCTCCATGGAGATATGGAATCTATGTTCCCTCCCCCTGCAATCTAGCAGGCCTGAGACTGCGGTGGCCGTGACAATAGGTGACTTTCGAGCTAAGTCATAAAAGGAGACACACCTCTTCCTGTCTCTCTCTCTCTCTCTCTCTCTCTCTCTCTCAGGATGCCCATCCTTGGAACCCAGGCACCGCCATGCTGTGAGGAAGCCCAAACAGCCACATAGAAAAGGCCACCTGGGCCAGGCGCGGTGGCTCACACCTGTAATCCTAGCTCTCTGGGAGGCAGAGGCGGGAGGATCGCTCAAGTTCAGGAGTTCGAAACCAGCCTGAGCAAGAGCAACACCCCGTCTCTACTATAAATAGAAAGAAATTCATTGGCCAACTAAGATATATATAGAAAAAATTAGCCGGGCATGGTGGTGCATGCCTGTAGTCCCAGCTACTTGGGAGGCTGAGGCAGGAGGATTGCTTGAGCCCAGGAGTTTGAGGTTGCTGTGAGCTAGGCTGAAGCCACGGCACTCACTCTAGCCTGGGCAACAAAGTGAGACTCTGTCTCAAAAAAAAAAAAAAAAAAAAGAAAAGAAAAGGCCACCTGGAGGTACCCTGGCCACAGCCCCATCTGAAAGCCAACCGTGTGAGTGAGAGGGCCTTCAGAAAATTCCAGCCCTGTCTTCAAGCTGCTGCAGCGGATGCCAAGTGGAGCAGACGTGAGCTGCTTCCACCAAGACCTGTCTAAATGGCAGATTTGGGAGCGAATCAATATTGTTCCCAGTCACTAAGCTTTGGGGGATTTGTTATGCAGGTAACAGAAATACTCTCAGATCTCTCCTGAGAAACATGCAGTGCATCTGACCAGGCAATGAGGGTGGAGGTGAGGAACCTCTGGTGTCCATAAATTACAGGTGAATTACCTATTTTTAATGAATTACTATTTTTTTTTTGAGACAGAGTCTTGCTCTGTTGCCCAGGCTAGAGTGCCGTGGCGTCAGCCTAGCTCAGACCAACCTCAAACTCCTGGGCTCAAGCGATCCTCCTGCCTCAGCCTCCCAAGTAGCTGGGACTACAGTCATGCACCACCATGCCCGGCTAATTTTTTCTACATATTTTTAGTTGCCCAATTAATTTCTTTCTATTATTTTTAGTAGAGACGGGGGTCTCGATCTTGCTCAGGCTGGTTTCGAACTCCTGACCTCGAGCGATCCTCCCGCCTCGGCCTCCCAGAGTGCTGGGATTACAGGCGTGAGCCACCGCGCCCGGCCTGAATTACTATTTATAAAAGGCAGTCTCACTAGAAATGAAGCCCAATGCTTACAAACTATGAGGAAATCAGCCCTAGAAAGTTTTAGGAAGGTTAACATTTCTATAACGTTTCTTCGTTGCCTTTTAATTCACTTAAAAGGTTGTCTCCTTAAACAGTTCCCAAGGACAGTCTAGGCCCACGGGGAAGTGGAGGGTGAGGCATCTTTCTCCAGCTACTTGCCCACCGGTGGTGGGTAGACTTCTAAGGGGGCCTCCAAGGGTCCCACCCCCTGTAACGGGTGGCCTTATGTAAGTTCCTTCTCTGGAGCGTGGGCCTGACTTTGTGGGTTTGCCTCTAACCCAAAGAAGACGGCACAGAGGATGGAGGTCCCTTCCACCGTTAGGTTGCAAAAGATGGTGACTTCCGTTTTGCCGCCGGACTCTCTCGATTTGCCGTCTTGGCTTGTGCGCTTTGGCGAAGCGAGCTGCCACGCCGGGGAGGCCCATGTGGCCAGGAACCAAGGCAGCCTCTAGTCCACAGCTGGCGAAGAACTGAGGATTGGGGTCTAAGGAAACGAACTTGGAAGTGACATCTTTCCAGCTGAGCCACGCGATGAGATCTCAGTCGCACCGGCACCTTGACTGCACTCTGGGGAGAGACTGGGGTCTCTCCCGAGAAGAGACCCCAGAAGCAGGGGCCTCAGCTAAATCCGTGCCTGGACCCCGGACCCGCAGGAACAGAGAGAAGATAAACGTGTGCTGTTGTAAGCCTCCAAGTTTGGGGATAATTTGGGATGCAGCAATCGATGCCTACCTAGCCCACCAGCCCCCTCCTGTGGCTGCGTGCGAGTGGTCTCTGTGTCACAACCCCAGCATGCCCCCAACACTGTCCCCAACACCAACGCCCGCGCACCAGCCTGTGCGTACACAGAGTGTGTATTCCTGCGACGCCCTGGGCCCCTGGCTTCTTTCCTGGGTGTCTGTACTCGCCTTTGCTAAACCTGTCTTGGAATGCTTGACCTCATTCCTCACCCCTGTATTATCTTCTCCCTCGAGGCCTGTCTCGGATTCTGCTGGAACCAGGCAAAGCCTCCGCCACCCTCTCCACCCCTGAGTGTTGCAAATTTGCTTATTCTGCCTCTGGGCCCGGCCGAGCTGTGGCTCTGCAAAACTTGTGGCTTCCTCAGGGTGTACTGGCTCTTCCTGTGGCAGGAAGAGCCATTCCCTCCCTGGCAGGAACTTTCTTTCATTCGAGCTCCTGCCTCTCTTTTTGGGGCGCTTCTGCACTAGGACCCAGAACTGAGGCCAGAGACCGTTTGTGTTTCCCAGCTTTTGGACTAGGAGAAGTCTTGCCCAGGACAACGGAGTGAGGAATTCTTGCCTGGAGAAGTCCGGAGGCATTACTCAGCGCTAAAAAGAAACGAGCTATCAAACCGAGAAATGACATGGAGACACCTTACAAGCACATTGTTAAGTTAAAGAAGCAAACCTATGGGCCGTATGGACCATAGACCATAAGAGGCTCTGGACCGTATGATTCCAATATAACATTCTGAAAAAGGCGACACTGTGAACATGATAACAGGATCAGTGGTTGCCAGGGATTGGGAGAAGAGTGGGGTAAATATGTAAAACATAAGGGATTTTTAGGGCAGAGAAATTATTTTGTATGAAACCGTAACGGTGGTCATTCATTACACATTTGTCACGACCCATAGAAAGTACAAGACTCTATGGACTTCGGTTGATGGTCACATGTCAGCCTTAGCTCATGGACGGGAACAAACCTACTACACACTGATGGGGGACACTCAAGATTCTGCTCCATTTAGGGTTAGGTCGTTGCCCCAGCACATGCATTTCCACCCAGTTCCTGGGTGACGCTGGTGTTACTGGTTTGAGAAGCACTGAATTCCAACGTTTCGTGTCAGTGCACAGAGACTGGTCCAGCTGGGTGTCGCCCCCACTTTTCGGTGTGAACCTGGGCGAGGGGTGGAGGGGCTCGCCGGTGCCCCCCCCACCCCCGGGGCTGCAAGAGCAAGGCCGGGCCGGCGCCTTTAAGGGAAGCTCGCGCTCGCCCCCTGCCGCCAGCGCCGGGCAGGACGGCGACGCGCGGCCCGAGCCGTGCCTGTGCGTCAGCAGCTGGCGCCCGGCCAGTGACGCCCGCGGCGGCGCGACTCGTCCGGCCGGCGAGGTGGGGGCCGGAAGTTCCTGCGCGGCGGCCGGGCGGGTCGCTTTCCCGTGGGAGGGGGCTGTGTGCCCGGCTTTCGGGGACAGACGGGCAGGCCGGGACGCCCGTCTGTGTGCCCGCTGGGCGGCCGGGGACGCGGGGACGGCCGCGGGTGGGGTGCCATGCCCCGCGCGGGGTCGCACCTCCCCCGGGCCCGGCCCGGCGCGTGGTAGGCTGAGGCCGCGGGACCCGCCCGGGCACCCTGCGGCCCGCGCGCTCCGCAGGCTCCATGGCTGCGGCGGCGCCGACGGCCAGCGCGCAGGTGAGTGGCCCCTTGTTCCTGGCCCTGAGGCGGAAAGCGGGCATTGTTCCGGGACTTTCCGCCCTTCCCGTCTCCCTGCTTTTGTGTCAGGGCCCCTTGGAAGTGAGTCACCCCCGTTTCTGAAATCTAATGGCTTGAAGGGGGAAAGGGATTCCCAGGCACAGGGGGCCAGCAGGTACAGGGGCTCGGTGGGGAGACGGAGTTGGGGGTGTTCAGGGAAGCCCGGGTCACTGTCCTGGGGTCTGCTGGGACAGGTAGGCAGAAGACAGCCCTAGAATGGCAGGCTGGAGAGCTGGGCCTCTGTCCTGAGGGTGTTGGGAGCCATGGAAGATTCAGGGCAGAGGAGGGAGATGCTCTGCTTCGGGCTCCCTGTGGCCGCAGAGGAGAGAACCAAACGTGGGGTGAGGGTGCAGAGCCCCCTGGAACAGTCCAGGTGAGCCGTGCTCATGGCTGGGCCGGAGTGGGGAGCAGAGTTATAAAGGAAGCGATTGGATTCTGAGTCTGTCTTATTTAAGTCTGGCCGACCAAATTTTCTAAGGCGGAGGGTGACACAGGAGAGGGACGAAGCTATGGTTTCTCGCTTTAGCAGCTGGAAGGATGGATGAGCCGTCAACTGAGAAAGACAAGTTGTTTGTGGGAGGACTTTTCCGTGGAAATAGTCGAAATTAGGTTTTGGCCATGTTGCGTCTGTGAAGTTTCAGAGACCCCCGGGGTCGAGTTGAAGAGCGGGCAGCTGGACGCACAGTCGTGGTGTTCTGGGGCGTTGTTACAGTTAGGAGAGACTGAACGTAACCAATGGACGCCGGCCAGACCGTATGTAAAAATAGAACTCTGACCTACAGCCTGCCCCGGAAACCAACCCCCTTATCTACAATAAACAACCCAGGAAACCAGCCTGCCCTATGTGAGACTTGGGGGAAGCCAGATTGCTATCTGCAGTGACAATCCAGGAAGCTAAAACAATGACTTCTGTAATGATTGGTCCCACATGGCCGGGGCTTGATTAATTGCTGAGAGCTTCCCCAATTTTTGCTCCTTCTTCCAACTTAGGACCAACTGGAGAAAGTCAACTATGACCCCTAACCAATAACATGGGATGCCCACTTCTAGTTAGCCTGCCGGAAAAACAGCCTCCCCGGGCCAACAGCCTCCAGCCAGGGCACACTGAGGCCTCCCCTGTCGTCCACGACCGAGCTTTTCCACTCTCCTGCCTCCCAAAATGCAAGTGATGGTGGCCGACTCCCTTGCTATAGCTATTTCCGAAGAAATAGCCTTGGCTTTTCTCATTTGGGTGGTCTTGGTTTATTTCCACAATTAGAAACATCCCAAATGTGGCATCAGATGGGTGGACAAGAGCCGTGTGCCATATTTAGGAGGGTGACCCTTCAGGTCGTGGTGACGGTGATGTTAGAGAAAAGAGGAAGGTGGGGTGGAGAACCAGGAGCAGGGCGTCTTGCTTGGGGACCTCAGTTGGCTCATTTGGCATCATAAAGACCGATGAGGAAGAGCGGTGACTGTGATGATGGGGCCGTGAGTGGGGACAGTGGGTATGGCACAGGGCACCTCCCAGGGGTCATCTACATGAGATGGGCGCTGAGGGTTAGCAGCGATGGAGGTAATATCACAGCGGCTGGGCTTATGCACCCATCTGTGTGCACACTAGACTTTTGTGGTGACCTTCGGTGAGCCTGGAGGTTTGCAGCCAGACTAGGGAATTAGCTCCGGGACAGATGGCGCCAGTTGGAAGAGTTGCTGGCTCTGGGCGGGTGGGTGTCGCATGACCAGAGGGGTCTGCTTTTGAATGAGTGTGAGCGACGAAAGGATCAGAACGAGCAACACAGGAGAGGGCAGAGTGTGTCTGACCCCTGTGTGCGCTCTGGGTGGCTCAGGTCACCCAGAGGGGCCTCCAGTCGGGGTGGGTGTTGCCCCTGGCAGTGGGAGCTGTCAAAGGTCTGGAGCAGTACAGGGTCCTGGTTGTATTTGCCAAGCACTGTCTGGATGCCATCCATATGCACAGTGACACGTGGGAGTCCACAGAGATGGCTGTGGTACGGACTGGGTGGGGCCAGGGCAGCCGTGTGATGGGGGTGCAGTGGTGAGGTCCAGAAGGGTGAGATCCGTGCATGATAGTGAGCCAAGCGCGCGTGGGAGGGAGCGCGAGCTGCTGCCCCAGGCTCAGGACATGGGATTAAGGGAGAAGACTGAGCCCATGTTTGTTTGCATCTGAGAAGCGTGCTGTTGGTGACATGGGGGAAGGGTCTGACAGGGGAGGTTGTCCATCCACCAGTTGCTGCTGTGGGCCCATGCAGTGGCCTGTGAGCCATGAAAAAAGAGCAAGCACGGCTGGAACCAGGGCCTGGATCTCCCAGAGCTGGGGAGGAGAGATGGAGGGGAGCGGGTCGTGGCCAGTGAGTCCTGAGGAGAGAGGTTGATCATGGAATGAACTGTCCCCATCATGGCAGGGCTGTGTGACCTTTGAGGATGTGACCATTTACTTCACCCAGGAGGAGTGGGGGCTCCTTGATGAGGCTCAGAGACTCCTGTACTGCAACGTGATGCTGGAGAACTTTGCCCTGATAGCCTCGCTGGGTAAGGGCGTCACACCCACCCTGACGTTCTGAGCTCATCTCTGCCTGTCCCCTTGGCCCAAAGAGCAGCTCTTTCCTTCCTGCTGCCAGACCGTGGGCACTCCTTCCTTCCCCACTTTCCTGGAATATGCCTTATGGGTTCCAGGGCTGGGCTGTGTGCAAGGCCCCCTCCCCTCCCTGGGCAGCCCCACACCTGCTGCCAGAACCTTGCAGGGAAGGTCCAGGCACAAGGAGTCTTGCAGTCAGCCCTGTGGAACACATCTGACTTAGCCAGTCCCCACCTGGGTGATTGTCCAGGTCTCTGACAGTCTGTGGTTCAGCTCTGCTCTTTTCATTTTGCTACTATGTCCTAAGCCTGACTATGCCAGGAATTCCAGATACTGTGTGGTTGCTACTTGCTGTGACCACTGGGATGCTCCTGCCTGACCTCCCTTGTAAGATCTTTTTGTGATACTGAGTTTTCTTTCCTGGGGTCTGTTAGGAGGTAGTTCACCTGGGCAGATGCTGGCCGCTTGACCTGCCTGTCTCTCCCTTAGGACTTACATCTTTTAGGTCCCACGTACTTGCCCAGCTGGAGATGGGAAAAGAGCCCTGGGTGCCTGACAGCGTGGATATGACTTCAGCCATGGCAAGAGGGGCTTATGGTGGGCCTGGCTCCGGTAAGTGGGAGTGGAGAGGGAGCATGTGATGTCACCACTGTGTTCAAATCATGCCAGCTCTTTTCTCATGTGCATTATCGTTTGGTGCCAAAACCAATGGCCATACCTTGTCTCTGCCTTTCCCTCTGCATTCTTGACACATTGCCCACTTGTCATTGCTACCTTGACTTTGGGTCTCTGGCTGTGCCCCACTTTTCTGGCCTCTGTGTTTCACTCTTTCCAGAGCTTCCTCTGTGGCACTCTCCATTGGCTTACACTTAATATTGTGAGATGTGCACATTTCCCTGAAGTCCTTGAACACTGCTACTCAGTTGCAGTCAGATTTTCCTGGGCCTAGACACACTTTCTGCATAGCCCTTACAGGTTACCAGCAGCCAGGGCTCTGCCTAAAGGCCCTTATAGAGAAGTGAGTTGGAGACCCTGCTTTTCCACTCAGTACCCCATCCTTCTGTCCTTGGTCCTGATAAGGCCTTCCCTATTTTGCGACCTGTCCAGACACAGTACTATAGAGCAGACCATTTCTTACCTTGACCTGAGGCTTCTCGTCTTGCCAACAATCCTGTGGACTCGTTCCTGGGTCAGACAGGCAAAGGTCACAGGGCTGTTTTCTTCTATCAAAGTCTATATGAACTTCACCAGCATGTCTCTGCTTTCAGATTTTTGTCGTGGAACAGAAGGTAAGGAGTTACCTTCCCAGCACAGTGTTTCCATAGAAGGAGTGTCACAGGACAGGAATCTGGAGGCAGCTCTATCCCGCCAGAAGACCTATTCCTGCGGCATGTGTGGTCTACACTTGAAAGACATTTTGCACCTGGCTGAACATCAGGCAACACATCCCAGGCAGAAACCATATATGTGTGAGACTTCCAGGAACAGATCTGAGTTCAATGCAAACCTTCCTCAGCAGCCTGTGCAGCACAATGTAGACAAACCTATCAGAAGCGAGGAGGGCAGGGCCTTACCTGGGAAGACCTGCCGAGACCACACATCAGAGAAGCCTGTTGCATGCAGGGATGGCAAGAGGGACGTTATGGCCACATCAGGCTTTCTCCAGCATAAGGTCACTCCCAGTGTGGGGGAGCAACACAAGAGCACTGAGGGTGTGGTGGATTTTCACACTGTGCAAAGGCAAAACAAGTGCAGTGAATTGGGGGACACTTTCAGAGACAAATCCACACTTGTTCAGCACCAGAGAATCCTTACCAGAGAGAGGCCTTATGAGTGCAGCAAATGTGGGATATTCTTTAGCTATGCTGCTGGCCTCATTCAACACCAGAGAGTCCACAATAGAGGAAAACCTTATGAGTGCTCTGAATGTGGGAAATTCTTCAGCCAACGCTCTAGTCTCATGAAACATCGGAGAGTTCACACTGGTGAAAGCCCTCATGTGTGCAGTGACTGTGGGAAATTCTTTAGCCGAAGCTCCAACCTCATTCAACATAAGAGAGTTCATACTGGGGAAAAGCCCTATGAGTGCAGTGAATGTGGGAAATTCTTTAGCCAACGTTCTAATCTCATTCATCATAAGAGGGTTCACACTGGTAGAAGTGCCCATGAGTGCAGCAAATGTGGGAAAGCCTTCAACTGCAATTCTAGCCTAATTAAACATTGGAGAGTTCACACAGGAGAAAGACCTTATAAGTGCAATGAATGTGGGAAATTCTTTAGCCACATTGCCAGTCTCATTCAACACCGGATAGTCCACACTGGTGAACGGCCTTATGGATGTAGTGAATGTGGGAAAGCCTTCAGCCGAAGCTCTGATCTCATGAAACATCAGAGAGTTCATACCGGTGAACGGCCTTATGAGTGTAATGAATGTGGGAAATTGTTTAGCCAAAGCTCCAGCCTCAATAGCCATCGGAGGCTCCACACTGGTGAACGGCCTTACCAGTGCAGTGAGTGTGGGAAATTCTTTAATCAAAGCTCCAGCCTCAATAACCATCGGAGACTTCATACTGGTGAACGGCCTTATGAGTGCAGTGAATGTGGAAAATCCTTCAGACAGAGGTCCAATCTGAGGCAGCACCAGAAAGTTCACAAACCGGATAGGCTTTATGAATGCAGTGAATGTGGGAAAGCCTTCAGCCAGAGGCCTACCCTCATTCGGCATCAGAAAATTCACACTAGAGAAAGGAGTGCAGAGAATGTGCTCCCTCCTTATTCAACACAAAGGCACACACCAGAGATAAACTCTGAGAGCAGACTTTATGAAGGAGCTATCTGCCAGAAGTTGAACCTTGTTCATCCAAATATCCACAGTGGGGAGATTCCCTATGAATGCTAGATATGTTGAAACTTTCTGGAGCCAAGTTACCTTTTCTGACCATGGATTGTATCAGAGTTTTGTCACTGCCAGAGTTGTGACAGAAGCCATCTCAGCTCTACACACTGGTGGGCCTCCAGAATGTGTTGGCCACTCCACTATGCTTGGGGAAGGGGGACCTCCTCTCTCTTTCCAATCCCTGAAAGGAATTGTGAGTGGTCTGAGGCCATGGGAAGGTGTCATTTCCTCCCCCGTGACTGATTTAGCTGTGGAGATGACCTGTCTTTGGCTGTGAAGACCTGAGCAGAGTTCTTGCTGCCAGCTTGCGGAGAAAGTTTCTCTTTTTCTGTTGGTCTTACGCTCATCATGGATTTATCTAGCCTCCATGTTACCTGACCCAACAACTACCTACTATACCTTCCTCTGGTTCATGGGATAATAAGGGCCTTATGATAAAGCCACCATTAATCTTCCATGTTCTGATCACTATTGTGGGGTCGGTTGAGAACCGTATTAAGGTCTACCAAACTACAGGGGTCTTTAATTTTTTTGCCCCAGAGGGGACAGCCAAGTGGCAGGGAACAACTCTGAGTCCAGACTTGGTCTCATTTGTATTGCTGCCCAAGGCCTCCAAGATTGTAGGTCTTTGTGGGCCTAATATTATGGTCTGAGTGGCATGGATTTTTGTGTTACCCCGAGGAGGAGGCAGTTGTGACAACCTCCATTGCCTCTGGGAGCAGCATGAATTGAGTCTCTTATTATGGGGTGCCACATATTCTCTAACACTGTTAAGCACATGTTGTTTAACTGGCACCTGCCAAGGGGCCATGTGCTCTGAAGTTCAGCATTAGACAGGTATCTCTAACTACGAGACCTACTGGGCCCAGGTGGGACCATGATTTGCACAGAAACACTGGGTGTGATTAGTAGGGAGTAGGTGAGGCTATAGCAAGCCGGAAGGAATAGACCTATTCTAAAGGTGCATTCACGAATGTTCCCTGGAACGTGGCTATTGTAGGATTCAGGGTTTGCATAAATTGTCAGGACCTCCACACCTCTGCTGCCCTGTGATGAATGTTACTGGCAGAGCAAATAATACAAATGTTTTGTGGATTGCTGTAGCCTTTCTGCACTGTGCATCTCAAGGCCAGTGCTATGCTGGCAGGAAAAGAGAGACTGAGAGAAAGTAAACCCTATACTCTAGGGATGTAGCATCTGTGATATAGCCAGCCATTCTTTGGTGCCAAGGCATGGAGAGATGTTGGAGTCAATATAAGGTTGCTGTATCTTCTGATTTTCTAAAATTAGTGTGAGGTCAGAGTTTTCTGAGGAACAATTTCTTTGAATGCTTTGTTGAGATATAATTGTTGTACAAAAATTGACTGTACATATTTGATGCACATAATTTGATAAGTTTTAATATATGTATGCATTCAGGGAGCCAACACTATAATGATGATAATGAACATATCCATTACTTGCAAAGCTACCTCATGCCCGTTTATAATCCCTCCTTGCTTTCCCCAGGAAACCATTTATTTACTCATTTTTTCACTATAGATTTGTTTGCCTTTTCTAGAATTTTATTGAATTGGAATCATAAAATATTTATACTCCTTTTTGGTCTGGTTTCTTTCATACAACATAATTATCTTGTGAATCATCCATGCTGTGTGTATATATATTAATAGTTCCTTCCTTTTACTGCTGAGTAGTGCTCCATTGAGTGAATACTCACAATTTTTTATGGTTTATTAATTTTTTAAAAAATTCTGATAAAATACATATAACATAAACTTTACCATTTTTAAGTGTACAGTTCAGTGGTGTTAAGTATATTTGTATTGTGCAACTATCGCCACCATTTATCTCCATCTTGCAGAACTGAAAATCTATACCCATTAAACAATTTCTCCCCTCTCCACAGCCCCTGGAAACCATCATTCTACTTTTTGTCTGCGTGAATTGACTACTCTAGGTACCTTATATAAGTAGAACCATAAGTATTTGTCTTTTTCTGGCTAGCATAGTGTCTTCAAGCTTCATCAGTGTTGTACCATGTAGCAGAATTTCCTTTCTTTCTAAGGCCAAATAGTATTCCATTGTATAGACCACATTGTGCTTTTCCATTCTTCTCTTGATGGGCACTTGGGTTGCTTCTACCTTTTGATTATTGTAAATTATGCTTCTCTGAACACGGGTATACAAATATCTGTTCTAGACCCTACTTTAAATTCTTTTGGTTATATACCCAGAAGCAGAATTACTGCATGACATAGTAATTCTGTTTAGTTTTTTGAGGAACTGCCATATTGTTTTCCACAGCAGCTGTACCATTTTACATTCCCGCTAACAGTATACAAGGTTTCCAGTCCTCACCATCTGCCCATCTTTAAGAAACCACTGATCTGCTTTCTGTCACTATTTGTTTACATATTTTAGAATATTACATTAATCTGGCAGCAGTTTAGGCAGGTCTGGTTCAGGATTCCCCCATGAAGTTGCAGTTTAGCAGTCAGTTGGGGCTGCTGGAAGATTTAATTCCAAGCTCTTTTGCGTGGCTGTTAACAGGCTTTGCCACGTGGGTCTGGTGAGAGGAACCACCAGTTCCTTGCCACGTGGGTCTCTCCATAGGGATGCTCATCACAAGGATTCTTTCAGAGCAAGTGATCCAAGAGCAAGACAATCTACCCAAGAAGGGGACCTATGTTTTATGTAACCTAAAATTAGATGTGATATGTCTTCACTTTTGCTGTTTTATGTCATTCACACAGACCAACCCTGGTAAAATGTGGGAGGGGCACACAAAGGTGAGAATTCCAACAAGTAGGGATTTGGGGGGACTTTTTAGAGCTCTCCCACTACAATCATGTTTTACCGTTCTAAGTATTTTAAAGGTAAATTACATTGATTTTCAAATATCAAGCAAACTCTGCATTTCCGGGATAAATTCTACCTTTTCTTGATACGTTATTCTTTTTCTATATTGTTGGGTTTGGTTTGCTAAAATTTTGTTGAGGTTTATATACACATCTGTGTTCTTGAAGGATATTGATCTGTGGTTTACTTGTAATGCCTTTGTCTGGTTTTGGTATCAATATATTAGCTTCAAAGATTAAGTTAGGAAGCATTCCCTACTCTTCAATTTTTTGGAATAGTTTGTGCATTTGTATGGTTTCTTTCCTGAATATTTGATAGAATTCACTACTGAAGCCATCTAAGCCCCAGTTTGCTTTATAGGAAGGTTTCTAATTAAAAATTTTATTCCAGGCCGGGCGCTGTGGCTCACGCCTGTAATCCTAGCTCTTGGGAGGCCGAGGCGGGCGGATTGCTCAAGGTCAGGAGTTCAAAACCAGCCTGAGCAAGAGCGAGACCCCGTCTCTACTATAAATAGAAAGAAATTAATTGGCCAACTGATATATATATAAAAAATTAGCCGGGCATGGTGGCGCATGCCTGTAGTCCCAGCTACTCGGGAGGCTGAGGCAGAAGGATCACTCGAGCCCAGGAGTTTGAGGTTGCTGTGAGCTAGGCTGACGCCACGGCACTCACTCTAGCCTGGACAACAAAGCGAGACTCTGTCTCAAAAAAAAAAAAAAATTTATTCCTTTAATAGATACAGGGATATACAGGTTATTTGTTTCTTAAGTGAACTTTAATGGTTTGTGTCTTTAAGGGAATTCATCCATTTTATTTGTTACCAGATATATTGGCATATATTGGGTTCATGATATTCCCTTTCAATATCTGTAGAATCTGTCACGATGTCTCCTCTCTTGTTCCTGATTTATGTATTTCTTCTTTGTAACTTGATAAACCTTGGCTAGAAGGTTATCAATTTTATTGTTTTTAAGGCTTTGGTTTCACTGATTATGGTGTGTCACTCTATATATATCCATGGCTTTCATGCATGGTTCCTGGCTTATGACTCCCATAGTCCTTGTTATACTGTTGGGGTGCTTTAGGCCTCAGAAGATAGAATCTCTCTCTATGACCTTCTCCTGTCCTCCTTTGACCTGCCCAAGCCAGGACTCTAACCTGCCCAAGGCAGGACTGTAAGTCAAAAGACCCTCATTCCAGAAAGAGTCCTGCCCCATACACTGGAGGAAGGAACACTATATAGAGAGGCCAGGAAGAATCTGAACAGACAGGGTTTGCTGGGTTTAGACTATGTGCTTTTTGTCAGTCACATTTCTACATGGTTGTCAATCATGCCTATATAATGAAGCCTCCATAAAAAACCAAGAAGACTAGGTTTGGAGAACTTCCAGATAGCTGAACATGTGGAGGATCCTGGAGGGTGGCACCCCAGGGAGGGACTGAAGCTCTACCCCCTTTCCCCTATACCTCTTCATCTGTATCCTTTGTAATATCCTTTATAATAAATCTGTAAATGTGTTTCCCTGAGTTCTGTAAACTTCTCCAGCACAGTAAAAAAAAATTGTTTAAGAAATTTCCAAGTGGACAGCTTATTTTTGCTGTCCTATTATTGATTTCCAATTTATCTTATATTTCAGACAAAGAATATAGCTTATAGGTTGTTCTCAACATTTTAACACACATTAAAACTGGGTATCTTTCAAGAATTGTTTGATTCAGCTTACCCACTTCAGTACGGCGCTCACCGGCTGCGAAACCTTGCCCACAGCCGGCACTCATAGTCTGCGTGATAGTTTGTGCTGTGCATTGATGACGAATCTGTTTTGCTCTTGTGTGATGAGGAAAGCTTGAAAGCACTGAAAGCTTGTTTTACTTTACAGGCAGCTTTACTTGTAATGTAAATCAGAATAGGTAACATATACATATATGTTTTCATTATGCTATTTTTAAATGTTCACAATTTTATTTTGATAAATGAAAAATTAGAAAAGTCATATCATAGCTGTCAGCTAAAGTCGATGCTCGGCTGTGTGCCTTCACGGCTGTCAGCTAAAGTCGATGTGTGCATTCATCTGTGGCTATCGACTATAGTTGACTCGTACCAAAGTGGTTAAGAGATGAGCTCTACATCAATATGGTGTTATGTTACTTTCTTTTTGCAAAGTTTTATCCAGAATCTAAAATTCTAAAATGAATAAATTAATATAGAGGCATTTTTAGATTAACTACATCTGTAGGGTTTTACTCTCAAAATTTCACTAGTAGTTACAAAAAATGACAATGAAACTAATAATTATTGAGCATAGATTTTTATAAGAATGTAGGTTCTATTATTACCATCTTAAAACAATGCCCCCAGGTGATGAGTATGGTGCCTAATATCAAACCAGCTGTAAGGTGGAGGGCATATCATATGACAATGATAATAGTTAACATACATGCCATGGCTAAAGACTTTTATTACACATTAACTGGTTTTAAAATATTAGGATAAATTATCTGAGGTTAAACTGGTTTAAGAAGTTCAGGAAGGTTTTTTACTCATTCAATCAAATTGGAAAACATCACATAAAATTTCATGCTATCAATGCTATAAGCATTAAGTAACAATATCTCCCACCTTTTCTGAATTGTCTAACAGTATGAATATTGATATTGCAAACACAAAGATTACAAATGAAGGCTTTCTTATGTTTTCTGAATTAAATTATGAATTCTCTAATATAAGAAAGATGAGAGTATTTTCTAAAGGCCTAACAACATTCTTTACATTCAAAAGTTTTTTACCAGCATAAATCCTCTGATGCTCAACAATGTTTGAACCATACATAAAGGACTTACCACATTCCTTACATTCTTAGGACTTTACAGCCATATGCTTTTTCTGATGTGCTTTAAGGGCTGAACTATATCTAAAGGTGTTTCCACATTTTTTACATTTAAAGGGTTTCTCGCCAGTGTGTACCCTCTGATGTTCAGTAAGGAATGAATTAAGTCTAAAGGCTTTCCCACATTCCTTACATTCAAAGGGCTTCTCACCAGTGTGAACACTCTGATGTCCAATAAGTTGTCCATAAACGGCAAAGGCTTTCCCACATTGGTTACATTCATAGGGTTTCTCCCCAGTATGAATTCTTTGATGTTGAACAAGGTATGAGCCAGAACTAAAGGCCTTTCCACATTCCTTGCACTCATAAGGCTTCTCACCAGTATGAATTCTCACATGTTGTACAAGGTATGAGCCCCGACTAAAAGTCTTTCCACATTCCTTACATTCATAGGGCTTCACATCAATGTGAATTTTTTGATGTTGTGTAAGATGTACATGTACTCTAAAGGCCCTGCCACATTCCTTACACTCATAGGGTTTCTCGCCAGTATGAACCCTTTGATGTACAGTAAGTTGATGGCGACTAATAAAAGCCTTGCCACATTCTTTACAGTCATAGGGTTTCTCACCAGTATGAATTCTCTGATGCTGAACAAGGTATGAGCCAGTACTAAAGGCCTTGCCACATTCCTTACACTCATAGGGTTTCTCGCCAGTATGAAGTCTTTCATGTTGAACAAGATATGAAGCACGACTGAAGGCTTTCCCACATTCCTTACATTCATGGGGCTTTACCCCTGCATGGATCCGGAGATGTGCATTAAGAAATGAACTAAGTCTAAAGGTCTTGCCACATTCCTGACATTCAAAGGGTTTCTCACCAGTGTGAATACTCTGATGTCGAGTAAGTTGTCCATACACAGTAAAAGCCTTCCCACATTCCTTACATTCATAGGGTTTCTCACCAGTATGAATTCTCTGATGTTTAACAAGAGGTGAACTAGTACTAAAGGCCTTCCCACATTCTTTACATTCATAAGGTTTTACACCAGTATGAATTCGCTGATGTTGAACAAGGTATGAAAAGGCACTAAAGGCCTTCCCACATTCGTTACATACAAAAGGTTTTTCACCAGTGTGAGTACTCTGATGCCGGATAAGTTTTCCATACACTATAAAAGCTTTCCCACATTCCTTACATTTGTAGGGTTTCTCACCAGCATGCAATGTCTGATGTACAGTGAATTGATATCCATTACTCAAGTTATTCCCACATTCTTTACATTTGCAGGGTTTTCCACTGGTTGGTATTCTCTCATGTTGAACAGACTTTGAGCCTTGACAAAAAGGCTTCCCACGTTCTTGACATTCACATGGTTTCTTTTGATTAAGAACTTTCTGATGTAGGGCAAAAGATGTACATTTTTCAGAAGTAGGCATTTCCTCATAGCTGATTATCTCACCCTTCAAATGCAAGTCTGAAAGTAAAAAACAAAAATATTTGATTTTTCTATATGAGAAAAAATAGATTTCTATGGAAGAAAAAAGTTGAAAATAACATCAGTTAGAAATAGCTTAGATAATACTAAAATATGGCTATAAAATTCAAAACAGGAATAATGCAGAGAGTAATGAGGATTTATGTATTAATAAATCGGTAAGGTTGGTGACTAGTGAAATAGTTTTCATTTCTGATATTTGGGTGTGGATCAAAATCTTTGAAGAGCTTGTTAAAAAACTGATGTTCAAGCACCATCCAGACTCCGGGAACACAGGGGAAGTTCCTGGGCATTTTTTTTTTTTTTTTTTTTTGAGACAGAGTCTCACTTTGTTGTCCAGGCTAGAGTGAGTGCCGTGGCGTCAGCCTAGCTCACAGCAACCTCAAACTCCTGGGCTTGAGTGATCCTTCTGCCTCAGCCTCCCGAGTAGCTGGGACTACAGGCATGCGCCACCATGCCCGGCTAATTTTTTTATATATATATCAGTTCTTTCTATTTATAGTAGAGACGGGGTCTCGCTCAGGCTGGTTTTGAACTCCTGACCTTGAGCAATCCGCCCGCCTCGGCCTCCCAAGAGCTAGTATTACAGGCGTGAGCCACAGCGCCCGGCCCCTGGGCATTTTTTAACAATATTTTTAACATTTCTAACAAAAGTTTCTGATGCAGATGAAATTTTTATAACTCATATTTCATCCCTGCCCCACCACCTGGCTTCTCTTTGCACTTAAATTAAAATCAATTTATCTTTCCAAAATAATATGACCCCTGCCTACCCATGAGGCCTCAAGCCATAGCTCCCTTTGTTCCCTATTTCCCTGACTTCCCCTTTCAGCACCTGGAATGTGTCACAAATGTCCTCATCTTTTCATTCATGTGCAGATGGTGTTATCTCCCCAAAATCTTTTGGCCTGTGTTGTTTTCAGACTGGATCTTTCTCATCCTTTGTATGTTTAAGGCAAAATTTCACGTTATCAGGAATATTGTAAACTGCTGACTTTGTCTAAGGATGTCCATGTCTTTATTGTCTAACACTTCATTTCTTGGTTTTCCTACCAGTTCTCAATTATATAAGTATTAATGTTCTCTTTGTTATGATTTGTAACTTATTTCTCCCAAAACTCCCCTCAGTTGACTGAGTTTTGGCCCTCATGACCTTTGTCTGCTCATTATACTTATGAATATGTTGTGTCACATAGAAAAGGTATATAATTAAGGTTACTAATCAGTTGATTTAGAATATGGAGATTACCCTAGATTATCTAAACAGCCTCTTAAAGGCAGATCTTTCTCCAAGCTGAGGGTAGAAGAGGAAGTCAGAGACATTCAAAGTGTGAGAAGGATAAACCCTGCAGGTTGTGGCTTAAAGACAGAGGGGATCATGTGAAAATATATTCCGCCAATAAGCAGTAGGTTTGGAGGAGGACTCCGAGCCCCGCAAAACTGCAGCTATGGCTGAGGTCTTCATTTAGCCATGCCATGCTGGATTTCTGACCTATAAAACTGTGTGATAATAAGTGAGTGTAGTTTTAAACTACTAAGTTTGTGGTAATTTGTGACAAAGCATGACAACTAACACACTCCTGATTCAGAGCAGGCCCAACCCCTGTGTCATTTAGCACTGAACTGACTCATTACAAAAAACAAAACAAAAACTCTTGATGAAAGAAATGAAATTAGGGTATTATTAAAAGACAATACTATAAAAATAATGATCACTGATAATCCATAGACAATTTCTGGAATGCAGCAGGGAAGGTACAAGGTGAGAGATTTGGCCATCTTGAAAATTTAAGAGATTTCCTGCTTCCCAAATTCATCAAGTTGTATTCATTGAATATATGCAGCTTTTGTATATCTATCAAACCTCAATAAAGTGTTTTGTTTTTTAAAAGATTCATGGGTTTGTCCAAAATCCACAGAAAACTTAATCTAACGCTCCAACAAATACAATGGCAAAAGGAATATACAAGTGAGCAGTTTTAATTATACATTCTGAATCAATGATGATAAAAATGAATCCATAATGACTCTTGGGAGGCAATACAAAAATAATTTTTCATCCTTTTCACTGTTAAATAACCTGGGGGGAATACCAAGTACTAAAACCAACAGAATTCCTTGTCTCCCGGTTAAACAAAACTGAGACAAACACACTTCCCTGTACTTTTCTTAACCTTCAATATACTCTCAGGGTCCAGGGGATGCACTTTTAGTTTTTGAGTTTCTTCTTTAAGCAGTTCTAGTTGTGAGAATTGTCATTTTATGGCTTTTATTCTTTATTAAATACATTCTTAAAAAATGGGAAAATTTATTTATCTTCAAAATAGATTAAATCTCATTCTATTTTACAATTAGATAGGTTTCTACTGGACCCTTCTGTAAAACTAAGATACATTAGGGAACAATAATCACATAAGATTATTTATAGGAAAAATAATTCCTATAAGAATACTATATAAGAATAATGATTCCTTGGACTATTGTTCTGTTTCATCATCCTAAGAGTTATTTAATCATTATGCATCAATTATATCCATGTATGCAAAGAAAGACTAAATAAGAAAGTGGGATAATGACAGCATTGTCTAGAAAGATTACACAGTAGTGAAATAAATCAATATTAGATAAACCTTCAGTTTCTTTATTGTGTAGTATATCATCTTTTAAAGTCTGAAAGAAGTCTGGACACATCATATTTATGTCTTTTTTTAAAAATTAGCTTTTATTGAACACAGCTGAGAAATTAAATATTTTCATTATCTACCCATGAGAACAAAGAAAGATTAGCAAACTGACAAAGACATTTCATAAGTATCGGACCAATCAGAAGAAGAATACAAAAAAACAGGGCACATCACTCTAGACCTGCACTGCTCAGTATGGTAGTCATTGCCCACATGACCAGACTGAATTGACATGTGCTGTAGGTGAAAGATATACACCAGATTTCAAACACTATAAAGAAAAATAATTGTATAGACATTACACATTAAAATGATAATATCTAGGATGTACTGAAATAAAATATATTATTAAATTTAACGCTACCATCTTTTTCCTTTTTAAATGTGGCTACTACAAAATTTAAAATTATATATGTGGCTTAAATTATATTTCTGTTGGACAATGCTATTCTGGATGACAAAAGGGTATGTGGTGTATTGTTTTACCAATCCATATTGTTTATTTTAAATGACATCTATGGAATTGTTATAGGTATTGAATGCTGTGAATCACATGTCTTCTTTAGCCACAGCAACTCTCAAACCTACCTGTGTGTATCTCGTCTCTCTGCACCTCACCTTTTGGAAGGCTAATGTGAATGTATTCTGCATGAACCACTGTGAGGACTCACACTGAAAGAAGAGTTGATGATGCCCTGCTGCTAAGCTGGGCTACCTGTTGTGTGATTTCCTGAACAGATGAAGCCAAATTGAACCTAAGATGATCCTCTGATGGGCTCTGCAGGTGAAATGGTTTTTGTTTTTTTTGGGGGGTGGAGGGGGGTGGTCATGGAGAATAATATCCTTATTCTTAGTACATTCTGAAGTACTTAGGGATAAAGTGTTATAATTTGTGCAACTTACTTAAATGGTACAGCAAAAAAAATTTACATCTATAGATATAGCATGGTTATAAGGATGGTTATCATATTATTCTTTTAACTCTTATGTAGTTTTTAATTCCATTGGCAAAATGCAAAAGAAAACTAAAACCCAGACTTTTAGGAATATTATAATACTTCTACATATTAAGGAATATTAAAAATGATAACAATTTTTTTAAACCCCCCTGAAATCCTCAAAGTACTATGAGACTGATATGATACAAGGTGTATTGGGTTAAATAGTCTCCTCCAAATTCTTGTCTACCCCAAACTTGAGAATATAACCTTATTTCTTTTTTTCATCCCTTTAGAATCAAGGATCTTAAAAAGACTGTTGGACTCATGCTCATCACTGACTTTTCTCCCATTATGTTCAAATCAGACCAGTTGAGCTTTCACTCCTTGATGCCACTGAGAATCTCCCCTTTTAGCAAGGCTAAATATTGAAGTCAATTCTTATTTCTTAATTTAATCCACTTTTCAGGTGATCACTCCTTTATCTTGAAACATGTTCTTCATTTGTCTTTGGCGGCACCAATTTCTGCTTCTAATTCTACCTTAGAAGAGGTTCCTTCTCAGCAGTCTCTTCTGTAGCCTCCTCAAGAAGATGACCTCTAAGTGTTAGAGTTCCCTCTCTTTGCACTGGCTCTCTAGGTGACCTCAACCAGTCCCATGGCTTTAAAGACCCACCATATGCCAATAAATCTCAAATTTTTATGGGTGAGCCTAAACTCTCCCTGAGCTCAACAGCCTACTTAGCATCTCTAACTGGATGGCCAATAGTCATCTCAAACTAAACACATGCAAAGCAGGTATCTTTAGCTCCACCCTCCAACTGGCCTTTTCCCCTCTATTTACCATTCCAAGCAACTGTATCTGCATGGAGCTGCTCAAGCCAGAACCCACTGATCCTTTTTGATTTCCCTCTTTGCTTCCCTACCTGTTTACAGTTCACCAGCATATTATTAGCTCTACATCCAAACTATATTATGAATACCTTCCTTTCTCTCCACTCTCTACCACAAGCATTCTAACCCAAACCACTACCACTTCTAGTCTGCACTCCTCCTGCTCCCATTGGGACAATTCTCTACCAATATCCAGAGTAATTATCTAAAAACATAAATTAGGATATGGTGGAGGTGGTAACACTGTTTTTGAATTTAACCAAATAGCCACATAAAACCAAACAGGATAGCAAAACTACAACTGTAGACAACATACACAACAAAACTATGGCAAAAGGGACCTTCAAAACCATAAAATATAAGTGGGTGGAGACAAAATATAACACTACAGCTAAGACTTGTGCAGGCTAAGCATCTGTGCCGGAAAAGGCTAAGGGGAGCAATGTGAGGTATCTGATCTGAGAACCCCAAAATAACCAATGAGTACTCACTGGAAAGCTTAGTAGGCTAATTTGGGAAGAACAGGTGAAACTGGGAGTGAGTATACATGAAGTGTGGGAAGGTTTGAACTGGCTGGAAGTTATTAATCAGGGAGGGGGAGAGAGAGTTGGGACTAGGTAGAGGCATGGGAAAATGTTAAGGGGTGGTTGGAAGAGTTTTACCTCCTCATTTTGGAGAATATTGGTGAAGGGTATATAAAAATTCTTTGTATCATTTTCCAACTTTTCTGTAAGCCTGATGTTATTTCATAATCATGTTTTATCTTCTGGCCAGGGTGATAGTTATGAATGTATTTGCCTTATACTAACATATCAAGCTGTACATTTTAACGTGGTTTTCTGGTATCTGTCTCATATTTAACATAATTTTTAAAAATTTAAAAATTAGAAAACCATGAATTAGATCATACTTTATAGTCACTTTAGAAAATAATGCAACTTCCTGACAATTAACAAAAAACTATAATAGGACCGGGCCCCTCCTCACATTCTACCTTTTTTCATATTAATTAATTCTGCCCCACCCTATGTATTCCTCTAGAAACACACAAAGCTCCTTCCCACTGCAAGGTATCTGCACACGCTGTTCAATCAGCTTGGAATGTTACACATAATTACATGACCTGAGCCCTCCTTATTCTTGTCTCTGTTTGAATATTATCATCCCAGCATACACAAATAAATCTTAATGCAAAAGAGGAGCTGAAAATAGTCAAATTCAAAATGCAGATTGCACTGGGAGAGAGTGAGCTCCTAATGAAATGAGAGGGAAATCAAACAAGGTGACGACTGCGTGTTAAAATGGGTCAAGGTGAAGTTCCTTTGCAAAGACTGGTGAGATATCTGATTCTTCTCCAAGTCTCAGGCTTTTTCTACAAAGGCCTTGAGCCTTTCAATGGAGACTTCCAAACAACTCAGGGACCATCCGGGCTATTTCCAGCAATGATGGCTTCCCTACCTGACATGCTCTTTTTTTTTTTTTTGAGACAGAGACTCTATTGCCCGGGCTAGAGTGCTGTGGCGTCAGCCTAGCTCACAGCAACCTCCAACTCCTGGGCTCAAGCAATCCTGCTGCTTCAGACTCCCGAGTAGCTGGGACTACAAGCATGCGCCACCATGCCCGGCTAATTTTTTCTATGTATATTTTTAGTTTGCCAAGTAATTTCTTTCTATTTTTAGTATAGACGGGGTCTCATTCTTGCTCAGGCTGGTCTCCAACTCCTGACCTTGAGTGATCTGCCTGCCTCGGCCTTCCAGAGTGCTAGGATTACAGGCATGAGCTACCACGCCTGGCCCCTACCTGGCATGCTCATACTCACCTGTAGACTGTTTTCTTTGATCTTTCCTCATTGCCATCCAAGGATCTTTCCATTGTTCCAATAAGGTAATCACATGGGGTTTAGAGAGGGAATGTCCTGCTTACAAGATAAGAATGCCACATAATATAGAAAAGACATAAAATATGAGTTCAAAAATACCTTGACCTTTGGTTAAATGTGCAATAAACTCGAGGTCAAAATGATATTGATAAATACTTTAGAGAAGGGGATTCATAAAACCAGATAGATAGGGAAAAGGTCTTATTTTAAATGAAATCTATCTATATATCTAAAAATAAGTAAAGATGGATAAATGTATGTTTATGTATCTTCTGCATCTTGACAGAAAGTATGAAATTATAATTGAGAACACAGATTGTGGAACCAGGGTGCCTGGGTTCAAGTTTCTGCTTCTGCCACCTATCAGCTGTGTGACCTTGGGTCACTCACTTAAACACTCTGTGCTTTGGCATTCTCATCTAAAAGGGTTGTAAAAGTAGTGCCTATAGGGTGCTTGTGAGGATAAAAATCAGTTAATACAAATATATATAAACAGCTGAGAACAGTGACTGCTACAAAGTAAGTATACTGTGAGCTACTAACATTATTATTGTTATTTTATTAAGAAGAAACCCAAAAACTTTCCTTAGACATGTATAACTACAGGATACAAATTTAATTTGCATTTAATCTTAAATGCAAAGTTCACAGATTATTGGTTTTAACCCCCAAATCAGATTATTTTGTAGGAAATAAAATGAAGTAACTTTAGCTTTAAATGATTTCTGTTCATCCAATCCACCAGTATACAAGTTGTATAGGCTCTTCAGACAGAACAAATAGAGACCTTTTGTCTAGCTGTTCTGCCTGCAGGTGTGTGAAATTTTAACAGACCACTTACAGCAATTATGAGCATAAACACAACAGGAAAACTTGGCCCCTTTGTCAATATTTATGCAATAAACAATCCAGAATTCTCATTCTGCCATTTCACCATTTCCAACCTAACAAAGCTCAAACCATTTCTTTGGGAACAAGAATAAATTGTGTTCACTTCTTAAGATAGCTCTAAAATTTACAGTGGAAAAAGTGTTTCAGGGAGTGGATTCTAAATTATTTGAGAAAAGTAAACTTACCCACTGATACCAGGTTCCTATAGTTCTCTAACATCACCTCTCTGTACAAGTCCTTCTGAGTAGAATCCAGACTCTCCCACTCCTGCTGAGAGAAGACTATGGCCACATCCCTGAAGGTCACTGATCCCTGAAACTGCAAACCCATGTATTTCTGGTGAAACTAAAGAAAATGTTTTCAAGGTGAAAGGAGAGGGAATAAAAAGTTTCAATGTAGGCAGGGAGCAATAATATAGCAGTCAAGTGGGTTGAAAGCTTATGATATGGGAAGTGAATGAAGCATAGTATTTGCATGTTCTAGAAGAATCCTGTTGCTATGGGCAAAATTTTCTATATGTTGTGGGATACCACAATACTCCAGACCTGGGGAAATGGATAAAATAATTCAAGCTTCCCTATTAACTAACACAGCACATGCTGAGACACTGTCTGCTAGGTATCCAACTAATAAATTCTCAAGAACTACTAGTCTCTACATTGTTTTCCTTTTAAGAGAAAAAATAATATGGATTTCTTTTCTCCAAGTGTAGAATAAAGTCTGTTTTAAAAAATAGGCATTACAAAAATTTGTTTAATAACTCCCAAGCTTCAAGAACATTATGTCAGATCATAAGTATTTTTCCTTGTATTGATAAAGAATTTTTCTGTAGTGGCATAATCATAGCCCTTTGACAAAGATTTACCAAGTTGTACCTACTCAGTAATTTGCTCAATGAATTCATGAACACCAATTATAAAAGAGGACCTCACCAGGAGGGAATAGTTATTTGGCATCGTTCCTCCACAGAAGAAGAATCAAGAAGTAGGTAATCAGATGGTGCTCTCTCAGGCAGAATGCTTCAGGTTAATCAAGGAAAATACCCATGTAATCTAAAAATACCAATATTTCAAGAAGAAATGATGACTTACGTGGGCCATCCTTATAGAAATGTAAGAACTGATCAGTCTTCTTTTGGGGTTCCTCTACCAGAGAAGTTCAAACCCTAGAAAGTCCAGAGCTGAGAGGGAAAGAAGGCTTTAGTTTTCCCAATGACATAAATTAATAAACTTTCCTGTCCTTCCTTGTCAGCTTCAAAACTATGATACAACCACCCTCAAACAAAATTTGGGGGAAGAATAGAGTAATCCAAACCCTAGGGAACCAAGCTGTGCACAGCTGGGTACAGAGCAGTGACACCTCTTAAGGATGGCAGAATCAGATACTTCAGCAGGAGGTTTTCCAGCTCCGCCCATTTTGGGAACGCTGATCTGGACCTAAGACTGGGCTGCACAGTCCTCTTTCAAACAGATTCTCAATCCATTCCTACATTCTAACACTGAAAAATGGTCCACATCACCCAAACCAGAAATTCTTTCATGGCATCAGGGTAAGCGTGAGGTTAGTCAAGACATGAGAGGTAGAGAATATAGAAGAAATTGATCAGACAGTTGCTAACATGGCTCCGTTTCCTAATCATTAAAATAGGGATAAGAATATCAGCTTCTACATATGGTTGTCTTTTTAAGAGTAAGAAAACTCCCACAAAATACTTCATAGAATCATTGCTGAACATGAGTTTCCTCTTATTATGGTAGTTCCCCTTTATTTGCAGGGGGATATGTTCCAAGATCCCAGGTGGGCCTGCAGCTGCTAGGGAGGCTAAGGTGGAAGGATCGCTTGAGCCTAGGAGTATGATGATGCAGTGAGCTATGATTCATGCCACTGCACTCCAACTTGGATGACAGAGACGTAATCTCTAAAAAAAATAAATAAAAATAAATTTTAAAAAAAGATCCCCAGTGGATGCCTGACCAAACCCTATATATGTTTTTTCCTAGATATACATACCTATGATAAAGTTTAATGTATAAATTAGTAAGAGTAGTAAATTAGTAAATTTACTAATAAATTAGTAAGCACAGTAAAAGATGAACAGTAATAGAACAATTATAACCATATACTGTAATAAAAGGTAATTTGAATGTGGTGTCGCTCTCTCTCAAAATATCTTATTGTACTGTATCCACATATTTCAGACCAGGGTTGACTCAGGGTAACTAAAACCTCAGAAAGCAGAAACATGCATAAGGGGGACTACTGTATTGAAGCTATTATTTGAAGAACATTATATGGCCTTTATTTTTTTAAAAGGAAGTTTCCACTTTTTATTTACAACATGCATGCTTTCTTTTAATTATAACTAAAAAATTTAGAGCCTTGCCCTAAGAATGCAACTCTTCTTTTTAAAAAACAACAGAAGAGATGTTCTGACATTTAAATTTCCTGTCCCCTACAGGCTAGAGAAAGCACCACCATTCTGCCATAACGCAAAATTGAGAATATTAGCAAAAGGCTGAATTCTATTCTTTCTGTGCAATAAGGAGATTGATGAAAATGCTTGTAACTTGTATCATGCTATTCTCTTTTCTTACAAAATATTGCCACTAGGAAAGTAATTTGCACAACAGATCCTCGGAACTCCTTTTTCCTGCATTGATAAATTTTAGATGACATTGCTGTGGCCCTTAAAGAGTGTAAATACAACGTTTTTTCTCAAAAAGAGGAGGCTTACTGGTACTCCCTTTTCTTCCCGCTGCACGCACAGGGTATGACGTCTACAGCCTCCTTTATTAAACTAAGAATCGAAGAGTCTTTTACTCCTTTACGTAATCGACTAGTGTGATTCTATCCTGCAGACGCAAAACAGAACCCTACCCTCATGCAAACAGACAAAAAGGAGCAATGCAACACCAAAATATTGACACCCTGGGTTCACGCGGAGGCCACGCACCCGGGCTTCGCGGGCGCACAGCGGCCCTGGGCGCGCAGCCGCCCTCCCTGCCCACGTCACTCCCGCACAGCTAGGCCCGGGTCCCGCGTCCACGCCCACGCTCACCGCCCGTCAGAGTCGGGGTTCCGCGCCCGCCCGCGTCTGCACAGAGGCTCCCCTCCTCCCTGCACTGATTCTTCTCCTGCGCAGAAACCCCAAGCGAACCCGCGGGGGGCTGCTCCGAGTCCGCAGCGCCCTCCCTCCGAGGCCGGGCGCGGACTCTTCTCTCACAGAAGCCCAAATCCCGCTGCCGAGCCAACGACCGCAAACACTACAAACGAGGCAGGGGTCCAGTTTGCCCCGGTGGCCCCTGGGACATGTAGTCTCAGGCCTGCTCGCAGTCGCCTGTGGGAAATGTAGTCCAGAGCGGTAAACCCGAAGAACACGCGCCGCCCCGCCCACAAGGACCGCCCACCCCGCGCCCGGGGCCTTCTGGGCCCTGCCGTTGGGACTCGGGGTGCGCAGGCGCAGAGGCTCGCGGAGCCGGTAACGTGACCTGAGGGTGCTGACCTTGGTGCTGTGCCCGTTGGAGCGGCCATTCGTGGCCCGAGGCGCCACCTGAGGCCCGAAGTAGGTGACCGGCTTTTTAGAGAGCCAACCCGGTACCCTCACTGCCACACCACACAAAACCATAACAGTAAACACTAAGATATGTTATTACTTTAACACAAAAAACATGAAAAGCAGGTGTTTGAAATTACCTTGCTGTAGAGTTTTCTGTGACAGAAATGCTATTATTTGATAGAACGTTAATAGGACTAATCAATACCGGCAATCAGTAACGATAACAGTAAGCAGATTGAACACATCTGTGGGGAAAATGTTTCTGTCCTCTGATACAGCAATTCCTTTTAACTTTTTATTAGACATTTAAATTCCATAGGCTCCTGATGGCCGCAGATCCCACAAATCCCGACGGGCATGGATTGGTTGTGGCAAGAAGCGGGTCACAATAGTCCTCGGCGTTGTACCTGCCAGGGGTGGCCCAGAGCAAGAAAGGGAGGCGGCGACGGAGGAGGGTCGGTGTGCACCCCGGACGAAAGCTCCCCGCCGTCCAGAGTGGAGGGGCATCCCGGAGTCACCAGCAGACGGCACCGGCTTCAGGTGAGAGTCCTGCCCGGACAGGGGGAGGGCCCCGGAGGGGAGCGCGGCGCCGGCAGGATCAGGCCCTGCCCGCTAGGGGTGAGGTCGACGCGCGGGGCAGGGCGCGGGACTGAGAACGGCTGGCGAGGTGCGGCGGCAGGAGACCCGATGGGGGAGGGGACGGGGTGGGGGCGGGGGCGAAGCTCGCGGAGGAAGTCGCTGGGGGCTGGGGGCGGGGAGAACTGTCTGTACGGCTCCTTCCGGCGAAGCTCACCCTGTTCGGGAGGAGCCGTCGGAACACGTGGCTGAGAAAGGGCGCTGCTGTGCCAGCCTTTGCCCCTCGGGTCCCAAAGCCAGAGGAAGGAGCAACCCAGACCCTCGCAGGGTAGGGAGCTGGCTAACAGGGAAAGGGCAGGGAGGGAGGGAGTGGGTGGTGCCGCCTCCAGACTCCTCCAGGCAGCCAGGGAGACCACTGCCCGTCTGTGCTAAAGTGGGGAGGGGACTCGAGAGCAGCTGGGGCCAAAAGCCCCAAGCTCCTTCCTTTCAGGCAGCCACCACAGAGGACCCTGTTTACCCTCCCTCCACTGCTTATGCAGGTAGCTGGGGGCTCCTGATGCCGCCTCCTCCAAGAAGCTCTGCATCCGAGTCCTGGAGCCAGGCAGGACTTCTTGGTGGTTGTCTTGGAAAGGTATGGACCTAGTACAGCATTAGCATCTGGGCTGTGAAGGCTTCTAACGTGGGGATCAGGTGCTCAGACCTTCCTGGATCCTGCTTCCCATAACATCCCTGCCTAGCAGGCAGGTTCTCCTCACTTCTTTTTGCATATTTGGTAAAACAGCATTTAAACCTTGGAACCTTCTTCAGCTCATACAGGTGGTAATGGCCCTGCCGTGATTTGACCCAGGCTGTCTGATTCCAGGGCTCTTGGATGTAACCACCTGGACTGTGGTGCCTCCTTACCATGTGTGCACCCTGTATTATTGTTTCTTACAGTCTTTAGGGGTACTTAGCACCATGCGTACCTATAATGAGCGCAGCCACGACTTCCTAGAAGGTCTTTTTTGGTTCAACTCATAAGTTGACCATAGGCCATGCTGGACTCCAGTCTCCTCAGAAGATGCAGGGCAGAGACTGCCAATTGTCAACATATCCCATAGGACATTTCTCTTCAAATTGACCCTTGTGGCCAACCACACAGCTGTCTGTGCCAGGGCAGAAGATGGCATGTCAGGCAGGTGCAAGACTCACCCTGGCTCAAAATCCTTGAGCCCCCAAGGGCACCAGTGTAGAATTGGAGGAATTCCATAGACCTGATTTCAGGGTCCTGGCAAAAACGGACAACTTACCGATGTTCACTTTTCCAGTCCACTGAATGAGATCTATCTCTGTATATTTTGATCCTTTTAACTTTCTCTCGGCAATGTTTTATAATAAGGGTCAGCAAACTATGGCCATGGGCCAAATTTGGCCTGTATCTTATTTTTGTAAGGCTGCTGAGCTATTAAATAAGAATCATGATGTTAACATCTTTAAAGGGTCATAAGAAAATTAAAAATAAGAACAAAACCCCCCAAAGAGTATGTGACAGAGACCATATGTGAACTACAAAGCCTACATTAGTTATTCTCTGGCCCTTTCCGGAGAAAGTTTGTAGCTACTATTTTGTAGTTTTCTCCGTATAGTCCTGCTTAGCTTTTTAAAATTTGTTCCTAAGTATTTTGTGAGATTTTCAAATATTATTTAAGTGTTGTCTTTTAAGTTTTAGTGTTCAAGAGTTCATTGGCAGTATACACAAAATACATGAAAATGTGTGTGTATATACTACTTGTATACATACATACATTTTGTATACTGGAAACTTGCTAAATTCACTTTTTATTGTTGGTAGTTTCTTTGAAGATGCCTTTGGGTTTTCTACGTACACATAATATTTTCTGTGAATCATGTAGCTCTGAATAAAGTCAGTTTTACTGCTGTTTTAATATGCATGCCTTTTATTTTTGTTTCCTACCTTCTACATTCACAGAGACCAACAATTGTCAGTACGACAACACGGGGCATTTCTCTTCTCATTGAGTCTTGCAGCCGACCACACAGCTGTATATGGTTATCTTCCCCTGGGGGCAAGGACATGAGCTGAACATCAGGTGGGTATAGGATCTATCCTGGCTCAAAAGCCTTATGACCCATGGACAGCAATATCTCTTGTAATAATTTCATAGACCAGCTTTTGGGTCCTGGTTGAAATTGATAATTTGCTCATATTAATTTTTCAGTCCACTCTCATGATATATGTGTATGTGTATATGTGTGTGTGCATGTATACACACGTGTATATATACATGTATATATATCTGTTTATGTATTGGTATGTAGTAGGATACAGAAAGAACAATTGCCTTTTTATATTGACCTTGTATACTGGCATTTCTTCCTGTAGTTTCTTTGTATATTGGGCAGTATTTCCTATACATACGATCATGTTTGCTAGGTATAACGGCACTTTATTTCTTCCTTTTTTTTTTTTTTTTTTTTTGAGACAGAGTCTTGCTTTGTTGCCCAGGCTAGAGTGAGTGCCGTGGCATCAGCCTAGCTCACAGTAACCTCAAACTCCTGGGCTCAAGCAATCCTGCTGCCTCAGCCTCCCGAGTAGCTGGGACTACAGGCATGTGCCACCATGCCCACCTAATTTTTTCTATATATATTAGTTGGCCAATTAATTTCTTTCTATTTATAGTAGAGACGGGGTCTCGCTCTTGCTCAGGCTGGTTTCGAACTCCTTACCTCGAGTAATCCGCCCGCCTCGGCCTCCCAGAGTGCTAGGATTACAGGCGTGAGCCACCTCGCCCGGACTATTTCTTCCTTTTTAATCTGTATGATTTCACTTATTCTCCTTACCTTTTACATTTACTGTGATCTCCAGTAAAATGTTTAATATAAGTGGAGACAACGAACAATTTTTTCTAGCTCCTGATCTGAGGGAAAAAGTGTTCAGTGTGCTATTAACTGAAAGCTTTTGTAGATGTGCTTCATCATATAAAGGATGTTCCAATTCTTTCTATGCTGATTTTTTAAAGCAGTGTTAAATTCTCTACAAAGAATAAAAAAGAAATAGGCAGGCATCGTGGCGCATGCCTGTAGTCCCATCTCCTCAGGAGGCTGAGGCAGGAGGAGCCCACGAGTTTGAGGCTGCAGTGAGCTATGATTGTGATACTGTACTCCAGCCTGGATGATAGCAGGAGACCCTGTCCTCCACCCCCTGAACAAAAAGAAGACAAAAATTGTCAAGTATATTTTCTTAAGATGTGTCAGGGTTGAGCTGGCCCACAGCCAACTCAAGAGTGATGGGGGAGGAGCACAGAGGAAGAAGGCAAGGGAGGATCACTCATCCCTTCCTCCTCTGAACTTTACTTTCTCGTGGCTGCTGTCCCTTACATTTAAAACACAGAGATTTGAGATGTCAGCATGTGCAGTTGTAAAGTGTGGCTGTGCCACATCTGAACCACAGAACTTTGGAAAGTTGAGTCTGCCTCAACACATCTCCACTCATAGAAGTCAATTCTTCTTCCGTAGTTGAGTAAAAGAGCAAAGACAGATGAGCAGAGAGGATCAGTGAACAAGAACAAAGCTGTGTACATACATGTTTCTCCATCTTGGAAAGAAAGAAAAGGGCCCATCATGGCAAATGGTGAGACAGAGGGAGCAGCCGCAGGCAGCAGGGGGGCCTGCCAGTCTAAGACTAGAGGAAAACTGGTGCAGCTGGGTATGGCATAGTGGATACTTACTCATCTTTTTCTTCTCTCCACAGTGGAACATCTCGAGGCCAGTATGTTGACATCTGATCGGTCTCATCCAAAACTATACCCTCTGTCACATACACAAACACCCTGAAGTACTGGGCCTCCAGCTTGCTCTCGGACAAGAGAGGGCAGGTTAAGTTTGTGTGATGTAACTAGAAAGGGCTGAGCCTCTTTCCACTAGAGCAAGGCCCATTATTGGCAACTGGTGGTCACCCACCATTTCTATCTAACTTCTGCTTATAGTTGCTGAGATATTGTTTCTTTCATTAGAAGAAAGTGAGTGGTTGGTGATCCAACACTTCTGTCTCCAAAGAAACCCTGGGCGTGTGTCAAAGGTGCCCCAAGGTGAAACTGCTGCTTGCCATCCTCATGCCAGAGGTACATTTGCTCTGCAAGATATCAGCAAAAGTGCTGAAGCTTAGGTCTCTCCTCAGTGGTTTTCTTCTCTGGGGTCCTCAAACTTTTTAAACAGGGGGCCAGTTCGCTGTCCCTCAGACCACTGGAGGGCTGTTGGAGAGTGCGGTGCACATTCCACACATGCGCACTGTGGGCCCAGGACGAGTCGGCTGCTAAGCAGGACAGGCAGCGGCGGCAAAAACACCTGGCGGGGCCGGATAAATGTCCTTGGTGGGCCGCATGTGGCCCTCAGGCTATAGTTTGAGGACCCCTGCATCTAAGTCAAAGGGGATACTCTGTCTAGTGCCCAGATGTTCTGAATAAATGCAGGTGTAGAAGTGTCTTCCTAACAGTGAGACTGGCAGGTGTGTCCTGTCCACGAGCACCTCAGCTGCTCTGAATGATGGTGGGAACAGAAGTATCCCATAGCCCAGCACGGTGCTGCCTCCCCGTTGTATCACCTGTGCCCTGCACTGTGTGTCTCAGGTGCTCTGCCAGTAGCGTGTCCCATCACAGATTTGGTGCCAGCCCCTCAAACAGCACAAGGAGGCTGATGGAGGGAACAGAGGTAACTCATGGCATGCACATCTTCCCAGTGGTGCAGGTTTCTCCAATAGTAACAGGTTTGCTCTGGCCAGGTGAGCCCCACGTGCTCAGACCATAGTAGGAAGAGAAGGCTCTCCAAACACAGTTATGGTGTTGCCCTCTCCCTGGCAACCTGTGTGCTCTGGACAAGCGGGACCCAGGTGCTCTGACTGTAGGTAGGAACATAAAGGCCTCCAGGCGAGATGCAGTGCTGGCCCCTTCTGCTGCAGAGGTGTCCTTCGGTCTGATGTGCCCCAGGTGTTCTGACTATAGGCAGGAAGAGAAGTCGGTATCTCCAGCACAGCTATGGTGCTGGCCCTCCCACTGTAACAGATGTCCTCTGGCCGGACAGGTCCTGGGTGATCCGAACACAAGGGGGAACGGTGTGTCTTCTGGAACATGTTCCTGCTTAGCGATGCTGCATCTCCCAGTAGCAGAAGGTGTGTTTTGGCTGGACTGGCACCAGCAGCAGTGACGATAGGCAGGAAGGAAAATGTTTCCCAGGATATTTGCTCAGCAAGGCTGGCCTCTCTGATTGCAACAGGGATGCTATAGTCCAACAGGACCCTGATGCTCAGGTCTAAGCCTCCCCCACCATGAGAAGTGGTTCTGGGTGTCCCTTCACTATTCTGCCCCAAAGCTGAGTGCTCTAGACATAGAGGTGACATTCGGGATATAGGCAATGACCCCAAAGCTGCCACTACCTATAAAAGCTGCAGATCCCACATATAAAAATGGGTATGGGCTAGAGTTGGCAAAAGGTGAGGACTAGTCCTCAGTGCTGGGCGTGCTGGTGGCATTCAATGACAAGAAAGAGTGGCTACACCAATGGGTAAAACAACGAAGGTAACACCATAGGCTTGTTGGATGTTGACAGGGATGTCAAAGGTGTACAAAGGGGTGTCGGATTCCCAAAAGCTGACTGAGTTGTGTTGCCATTGGGTTCCATGGCTGCAGCAGAGGTTAAGTATGAAGGGCTTTTCAGGGCTGCCAGGTTTCTCAAAGGGAGCTATTAAAGCTGGGGGAGAGACTGGGGAATGGGCTTGGTACCCATATTGATTTCATCAGAGTCAAAGGCAGGCTTGGAGACCAAGTCTGGGGAGGGGCTGCCTTCTGGGGCGGTGGCAACTGCAGAATCAGTGCTAGGTGGGCCGGAAGTGGGGGACATTGTGGAGAGTGGCGGCCCATCAGGACCCCCAGATGTCAGCTGACAGGTGTTTCCTGGCCCAAAGGGAAAGTTGAAAGGGCTGCTGACCATAAAAGCAGGTGGGCTGGTGGAGACTGTAGCCTTTGTAGGGGGTATCTGCTCCACACTAGGGTGGGCCTGGTTAAATGGGAGGAAGCTCACACTGGATCCTGGTGGAGACCTGAAGATGAAAGCCTGGAAGGCAGAGTGGTGTCCATACTGGTTGTGATAAAGTCCAAAGCGGGCTGGGAAGTCCAGTCCGCAGACAGGCCGGCTGGGGCAGTGGAAGTGGTCGCAGAAGCAGTGATGGGTTGGCTTGTGAACACGGGACTGGTTGCAGCTACTTGAGGCCTGTAAGAAAAAGAGGAGAATCTACACCTGCATGTGTACGTGACTCTATATAGGTGTACGTGACCCACACAGGAGGTAGGCTTTCAGGAGAGGCAGAAAGTTCTAGGATGTGTGGGCAAGGCCAGAGTAGAAGATCCTGCTATTATGACTGAGGGACTGGAATGCAAAGGGTCTCTTTTCTCACTATTAAGTGAAACACTACATACTAGGGCCTCTCTTCTCATTATTATGTGGAGCACTGCATGTAGGTCGGAATCCAAAGTGAGAAACGGCAGGAACAGCAAAAGGAGAGTCAGGACCTGTGCATCTCATTTTGTGGTCAATATCCGGTATAGGGGTAGGTACAGGGGCAGACAGCACGGGTGGCCTGACAGGTCAGCCGAGTTAGTGACGGCTAATTTGGTAGTATCTGGAACCTGCAAGGAGAAAGTGGCCAGTGGCAAAGTCTCTGCAGTCCCCACAGCAGGCAGAGAGAAAGAATGGGCAGGCTGAGCGACACTGCTGTCTGAAGGGGCCTCAGTTTTATCCTCCCCCACCTTGGGGTTCCATCGGCATTCAGAGTTCTTCAAGCCCTTTAGCGATGATCCCTGCGCGAGGAAGGCAGGAAATAGGGCAGCTCTCCTCCATCCCACTACGGTGGCAGTAGCAGCAGCAGTGGCATTGAGAATTTCTGTTTACAGAGCCTACAACCGGCAGGCGTGAGTGTGAGTGGAGAGTTTCTCTTTGCCAGAATATCTGAAAGCTTTCCTGTCCGAGTCATCTTCTTTGATTTCTGTGAGGCTGGAGAGCTGAGTTAATGGCCTTCATCAAGCTCTTCCTTTCCCAACCTCTCCAGCAGCAGGATGTGAAACCTGGCTGGCCAGACAGCCTGCTGCACCTGCTGCATGCCGGGAAGGATCACTCCTCCAAAGAGGCAGGTGCCCTCCAGCACGCAGAACTAGGCTGGGGCTGGTAGGACCATTGGTGACTGACCTCACAGAAGATGTCTGTGGTAGCCTTACCCAAGCTGTTTTGTGGGTCCCTGGAATAGAGGTTTCTGTTCAGAGGTTCAGGACTGCTCCCAAATCTGTGATGACTCCATTGGTCACTAGGGGTCTAGATGCCGATGGTATACATCACTATTTGTGGGGCATCTTTTCTGATAATCCTGCCTTTTGGACACTATTTAATCATCTTCCTCCCCCAATGTCCCTTTCCTTTGTGCTCCTTGTGTCGTCTCAGTCTCTGTTAAGCAGGATCTGGAGGGTGCTTGGCTGGCCCAGGCCTCATAGAGGTAGGACTGCTTGATCAGGTGACAAAGGAGGAGAGTTAATTTGTGCCTTGGAGGAGGGATCTTCGCCTTTCCCGAGTGGCCACACACTTTCAGGTACAATCAGACAGCAGTGTCTTCAGAGTCCACCCAGAACCCCGCAGAGCAGCACTGGGGCTGCCTGATGGAACACCACTGCCTTTTAGGAGTGTCACCACCAGGGTTAACACATCGGGTCCAAGGAGAACTGCCAGGGGAAATGCCAAAGAGAAGTGCAGGGGCAGTGGGAGGATGCCAGCCAGAAGGGGACATGGCAGGTCAGGCAGAAGGGGTGTGCAGCAGTACGGCAGGGGGCTAGGGCAGGATGGGGGTGCAGCTTGCTGACGAAGTTGCCGGTAAAGGGCAGTTTGTGTGCTGTTGGATCCTGGGAGTGTAGCACAAAATTTGGAGAGGTCCCCTAGCTACCTGCCACTGCTCAGCCTGACACGTGTGCCACAGCATTGGAACACGTGACCGAGAGAAAGCGTGCCAGCCACGGGCATGCCAGTGCAGAGCATGAGGACAAAGCTCCAAAGGGCGAAGGGTGAGGCCCAGCAGCTACCGTCTGCAGACTCCCAGTGCTTCCTCACTTGCCTGCTGCCAGCTGCAGGTGTTTGGAATCAGATAGTCCTCATGGTGTAGTGGGACTGTTCAAGACTGTCACCCCCAGGGCACCATGTCTGCAGGCACCTCGGCACCGCAGGGTGAATTCACCTCAGCCTCTGCCTTTCAGGCAACCACCAGACAACACCAGCTAACCCCGACAGCTGTCCCCACCTCCTCCCTGCTGGTGGGCCAAGGCTTGGAACACCACTTTCTCCAGGGACTTTTCTAGCTCCTCTTCCATTCCTGGGCCCCGTTGTAGCTTTTCTTGTGTTTGCCCTGGAAGGGCAAGCATCCCAAGTGTCACCAGCTGGGCGACTAAGGTTTCCAGGTAGAGAGATGGATATTGCACTGCAACACACCCTTTCCCGGTAGGCCATTTGTCTTCACTTATTTTTGCAAATTTAGTAAGATAGCGTTGAAGCCTTAAAACAGGGGTCCTCAAACTTTTTAAACAGGGGGCCAGTTCACTGTCCCTCAGACTGCTGGAGGGCCATTGGAGAGTGTGGTGCACATTCCACACATGCGCACTGTGGGCCCGGGACGAGTCGGCTGCTAAGCAGGACAGGCAGCGGCGGCAAAAACACCCGTCCAGCTGGATAAATGTCCTAGGGGGGGCGGCATGTGGTCTGCGGGCTGTAGTTTGAGGACGCCTGCCTTAGAACCTTCCTCAGGTCACACACGTGGTATTGGCCCACTCGGAACTGGGCCCCAGGCAGTCTGATTCCAGAGCTCATGCATTTACCCACCAGACTGCGGTGCCCCAGCCTTGGGCAGTCACCATACATGACCATTTTCTGATACTCCCTGGGGTACTTGGTACGATTATGCAGCCACAGTGAATGCAGGCACTACCTACTTGGAGGCCTTCTTTGGTTCAATTCATAAATCAATCATTGAGCACACTGAGCTCCCATTTCGGCAAAAGATGCAGGGCAGGAAACACCAATTGTCAGCACGCCCCTATCAAGCATTTATCTTCAATACAAGCCGTAGCAAACCCTGTGGCTGTGAGGGATGCCTGGTGGCAGGGATACCAGCTGTGAGACAGGGGGAGGCAGGATTATGCCCCAGGGGCACCGAGATCTCACAGAACTCCACACACCAGCTTTCCGTGTCCTAGTTGAAATGAACAACTACCATGATGAACTTCCAGTCCCTGAGCATGGTCCAATTTTTCCTACATATGAATCTCTTAAAAAATCTTTTCTCTCAGATACCGTTTTTGTAGCAGAGTTCCGAAGATACAGCCTATGGGCTAAATTTGGCCTGTCCTTGTAATGCCAATGAGATTGGAATGGTGTTGACATTTTTAAAAGGTTGTAAAAACAAAACAGAAGAATGTGATAGCGACCATATATAAACTAGAAAGCCTATATTTCCTATCTGGTCTTTTACAGTAAAAATTTGTCAACCCCCATTCTATAGTTTTGGGTGCATGTCTTGTATAGCATTTGCTAAATTATTCCTAAGTATTTTATGAGTTTTTTATGCTCTTGTAAATGGTATCTTTTAAATTTTAGTTTTCAGTTGTCTACTGGTAGTATATAGAGTATACAGTTGGTTTTTATATATTGACCTTGTATGTTGGAACATTGTTCAATTCAGTCTCTATTTCTGGTAGTTTCTTTTTAGATTTCTTAGGATTTTCTATGTATACATTTATGTTTCCTATGAAAAAAGAAGAACATTACATCTTTCTGTTTAATACGTATGCCTTTTTTTCTTACCTTCACATTTGCGCTGACCTCCAGGAAAATGTTGAATACAAGTGGAGACAACGGACACACTTGCCAGGTTCTGGGTCTCAGGGGAAAGTATCCAGTGAACTAACTGAAGGGTTCTGTGGATGCGCTTCAACACATTAAGGACACTCCCTCCAATTCCTATTTTGCTAAGAGATTTTTCGAAAGGGGTATTGAATATTGTCAATTACTTTGTACACAGATTTGAGATAATGATATGGCTTTTATCCTTCTCTTAATAAGGTGAATTATGTTGATTTTAAAATATTAAATCAACTTTGCAATTCTGGGACCCCCCCCAAGAGGTGGTCATGTTAGATCATATGTAATTATTGTACCTTTTTGATAAACTGGCCCTTTTATCAGTATATAATGTCCTTCTTATCAGTATATAATGTCCTTCTTAAAACAGTTTTTTTTTCTCATTCATTTTATTTAATTTTTTAAAAATAGATTTAGGGGGTACAAGTTGAATTTCATTACATGTATATATTATATAGTGGGGGAGTCTGGGCTTTTTGTGTGCTCACCTCTCGAGTAGCGTACCTGCCTAAATTGGGGCATGGTGCCAAGCCTCTGCATTTTTTCTCAGCTGGATAGGAAAAGGAACCAGAGTTATACTCTTTCTACTAAAACTGCTTTTAATTTAGGCTAGCATACCAGGAAGAAAAGTCAGGCTGCTAGGAGTCTGAGCCTGCCCTCAGGCACTGCTCTGAGCCCCTCCTGGATGCCTCTCCTGTTGGTTTTTCATTCCATGACCATTGCTTGACAAGATCACAGATCTATTTACTCCACTTTACTAAGGAACCTCATTCCTTGTTCTGCCCCCTCGTATGTCAGGACAAGCTGAGACTGCTGACATTCTCCATCCTGAAGGATGTCAGGAGCCCACAATGACGAGCTCAAGGTGGTGGCAACTGAGGAAAGTGTGCCTGGGCTGCGGAACACAGCTGCCTAGATGTGGGTGGGCTGGCGACTGGGGTAGGGAGACCGTGCTAGGGCTGCCTGAGCTTGCGGAGATGGCGGGAGGCTTCAGCAGTTTTTCTTGACCAGAAAAGAAAAAGAGGAGGCGTTACACCCTTCGTTGTCAAATGGACTTTATATTAGCATAGCATGCCAGGAGGGAGAATAGGGCCAACTGGCCATCAGCCCGGTCTGAACTCTTTTGGGGAACCTCCTTTATTAGTTTGTATTTCCTAGAGGTCCTTTGCCAGGACCACAATTCGACTCCGCTTTACGTTGCTGGGCGAGCCCACCTTCCACTGATACCACAGATCCTCGAGCAGCAACTTATCCCACATGTACTCAGGGGACAGGACCTTGGTGGGTTTGTGATACAGCAGGTACTTGTTCAAGTACGTCTCAACGTGCCCCACAGCCTTGATGTCATTGGCTCGGTCAATCATCATCGCCTGGTGACAGGCCTCGGTGAGCTGGTGAACCTCTGGCACTGACCCCCCAAATAAGGCCCCTATGTAATAAAAGTCTCCCTCATCCCCAGGAATGTAGGCTTGTGAACGAGGCCGGCGTTCATAGGCAAAGTTGCTCCGACGAACCCCATAGTAGCTAGGATGGAGGGTGGCGAACAAGGAGGAGAGGATTTCCACGCCCACGTGGTCACTGAACTTCAAGTCCACGTCTGTGCACACGAGGTAATCCACCTCCTCGAGGAAGCGCTGCTGGGAAAAGTTGCTGATCACCTGCATGCGGCGCATGGAGATGTCCTGCCAGCGGGCGTAGCTCTGGGCCTGGAGGACGAACATCCGCCTTCCTTTATGGAGCTGGATGTGGGGAACATGGTCAGGTCGGTCGGTGAAGATGTAATAGTTCACCCTGTGTCCCACCATGAAGTACCTCTCTGCAGTCACCAGGAACAGCTTCAGGAAAACCGTGTATTTTTTCATGGCAAACACGGTTAATCCGATGGTGGCATTCTGGAGCCAGAACTGCTCATTCAGTATGTCAGTGTTGAAGGTCCCCTCCCACACAATGGGAGCCAGCCAAGGGGTCACAACAAGGACATCTGGTCTGGAGGGTGTCAGTACATCGGGCTGGGGATACGCTCTCCTTGATGGTTTTACAAGTTGCCAGCCGCGGGATTCTCTAACGGCTGTGCTTACCCCATCTAGCATGCTCTTCAGCTCCTGGCTCTGTGGGATCAGGTAACTGTAGCCAAGGAAGGAGAAGATGACAGCTGCGAGAAGAAACCAGGTCACAAGCAGCAAGCATCGTTTTCGTTTCCCAGCCAACACCTGCAGCAGCCGGGACATGGTTCCGCAACCAATGGACTCTGCCTTTTCTCTCTTCCACGCTCTGAGGGTACTGAGCCCTCATCCACCTTCTACCCTCGGTGGTCTCCACGCCGGCAGCCTAGGCTCCCCCCGAACGGACTGCTATGCAAGGGAGCAGCTAGACTTGGGGGCACACAAGGCCACACCAGGGAGAAAGGCTCAGGTCCTAGTGGACCGCGATAAATTCAGTTCCAGGCTGAGGTTTCTGAAAGTACCCAAGTGGCCACGCTTAGTCAACAGTCAACTATAACTCAAGGACCAGCATTCAGGAGAGAAGTCAGGGCTCTGGAAACAGGCTGAGGAGACTGGCTCAAGGGAGGCCACTGGGCAGGTCAAGGGCAGAGATTGTGATGAAAGCAGGGCAGGCCAGGAGCCACCAGGGGCCTGACCAGGTGGTCCGAAGCCTTGTGCTCTGGCCTGCCCTTGACACTCATGAGCTGTGAGACTATTAGCTAAGCACCAAGCTGCCTGAGAAAATCCATAAAGTGGAGACCCTTCTGTTCTCTTCCTTAGACTTCCACATGAGCTGTCCCTCAGACAGAGCCCCCAGGAAAGTGAAGGAAGACTGAGCCAGTGCCCTTTGTTGACTTGGGGCGTACCGCATCGCCATGTCACACACCTCCACTGGCCATCCTTGGCAATTCCAGACATGTACCTCCTGGAAAAGGAAGCCTCTGACACAGACCCCTCCCGCTCCACTTCGGGACCAACAGGACGTGAAAAAGTGTCCCATGGCAGATAAGGAGCACCTGTCACCTCACCTGTACCACGAAGCTGGCTGGTGCTTCTGTGCTTCTCTGTGCCACCTTGCTCCTGCCTTCACGTGGAAGTGGGTGGCTGGAGACATGCCTTGTCCAGGGTTCTGAAAACCTCTCAGGGCAGTTCTGAACATGTTGGGAGGAGGAAGGAGAGAGTACTTTACTTCTTCCTTTCCTATTTTGATGCTTTTTATTTTGTTTTCATACTGATAGCTCTTGCTAATTCTTTCAGTACTGTATAGAAGTTGTGTGTGTGGGGGAGGGTCAAGACGGCTGTCTAGCCACATCGCTGGCTGGACCTTCCCGGAGGGAAGATAGGATTTCAGATAGGGGAGAAGGAAGAATCAATGCAGATCAGGTGTAGCTCATAGACAGAGGTGCAGAGCTTGCTGGTGACACCATGGAGAAAAATTGCATAGTAGAGAGGGAAGAAGATAAGGGAGGAAGAAGATCTGAAAGGATCAAACCCAGAGAGGCTCAGAGCCCAGCAAAAGGGTGGGAGAATCACATTCTGTTTTCCATGAGCCTTCAGTCGCCAGAAGGCTACCAAGTTTCTTGGAGGCTTTTCCACCTCTAGGAGCCCAGGCACTGTGGCAAACACAGACCAGTGGGGAGAACTTGTGCAATCGCAGAGCTTGATTATCCCGTGTGGGCCTCCCCTCCGAGGAAACTGTGACAAGGGGCAAGAGAACTGACTTTCTTCCATTCAGATGCTTCCTCCCCACCCTCTCCCCAGTGCTGCAGCTGAGAGTTCAGTTCCAGCCAAGAATCTGGTAATGGGACACCTGTCCCCAGGGGGTGCATTCTGCAGGCTGAGGCTTCCAGGGAGGGTGGATCCCATGCCTTTTCCCATGGGGGCCCGCAGTGGACATGGGGTGCCCACTTTGGGAGCACCTTACCCACAGCATTTCATGGAGGTGCACAGTAGCGGGTCGGACATGCAGGCCAAGGGGAGGTTTGAGAGCTGGACAGTCAGATTGTGGATCTCAGATGGCCCCATCTCCACAAGCAGACTTTCTGGTTGGGTGAGGCCACTTCAGCCCCTCCCTGGCAGCTTTGTAACCAGTTTTATAAGTGAGAAAATGTTTTTGCAATAATGTTTTTGGCTCTCTCATATGTAAAAGGAATTTTCAGTGTCCATATTATGGCTGGGAGTGACAGTTCTAAATGGCCTTAACAGCAGGATTTATCTCAGCCTTGGTAAATAGCAGCTACTGTCTCAATTAGGCAGAAAATCAACAGAGAACTCTTTATCCAAATTTTCTGACTAAAACTTTGTAATTTTCTGTTGTACTGATATATTCCCCTTTGAGTTCCTTTTCCAAGAACAACACAATCTCCTACTAACCTCCTACCTAGCCTCATACTATCTGCTTGTCTGGAGAAGACAAGGTAAGAGCACGGACCGTGCCGCAAGACCCACTAAGCATGTGCACAAGGCTGAATGAATGACCAATATTAACCCCTAGCTCAGTATAGTGCTAAAATATCTGCCCTGGGAGGGACATATCTGCCATTTTTTGATCGTGGGACATATGTACTAGCATGATTTCTCACTGCACTTACATGGTCTGCCCTATACCCCAAAACACACAATGATGCTGACACCCCTCATGCATTATTCATTTCACCTACAGAGGAAAAGCCTGACCCTGTTGGTCAGGGAAGTGTATTTGTGGCAGTTCCTGCCTCTCTCTCCCTGTTGACACAGCCACGGAAATAAATCTTTTCTTCATTGGCAATACTCACTGTAACAGTAAGTGGCTTTCTGTGCCATGGCCAACATTGAATCCCTGTGTGGGATTATGAAAGAAACATGAGATTATGTAGAATGGCTAAATACAGGAAGCATAGGCATCCCTGAGGGTGAAGAAGAGAATGTACAAGGCCTGAGAAACCTATTTGAGGGAATGATTGAGGAAAACTTCCCTGGTCTTGCTAGAGATTTAGACATCTAGATACAAGAAGCTCAACAAACACCTGGGAGACTCATCGCAAAGTGGAAATCACCAAGACACATGGTCATCAGACTGGCCAATGTCAACACAAAGGAGTAATTCCTACACCCATAAGGAGAATACATCAAGTAACTTCCAAAGGAAAACCCATCAAGCTAATTGCAGACTTCTCAACAGAAACCTTACAAGTCAGAAGGAATTGGAGGCCCATCTTCAGTCTTCTTAAACAGAACAACTGGCAGCCTAGAATTTTGTATCTTGCAAAACTAAGTTTCATAAAGGAAGGAGAAATAAAGACTTTTCCAGACAAACAAACACTGAAGAAACTTGTCAAGACCAGACTTGCCCTACAAGAAATACTCAGAACTGCATTATACATGGATCAGCACAGTTGCCACCCACCAGTGTAAAACCACCCAACAGCTAAAGCTCAGTCTCATGTAAAATAAGAGATAAAACAAACAAACAAACAAAAAGAGATAAAACAAAGAAACAAGGTACTAACCATTCGGATGAACAGAACAGCATCCCACACATCAAATCTATCAATCAACACAAATAATTTGATATAGGTTGGTTGAGTGGATAAAAAAAATACAAGGCAAATAGTTGTACATATTTGGAGAGTACCTGTGATATTTTAATACATGTATAAGATGTGCAATAATCAAACCAGGGAATTGGGATATCCATCACCTCAAACATTTATCTTTGTGTTGGTAACATTACAATTCTTCTCTTCTACCGTTTTTGTTTAAATGTGGAATAAATTATTAACTATAATTTCCCTACTCTATTATCAAGTAATAGAACTTATTTCTTATATCTAACTGTACTTTTGTGCCCATTAATCAACTTCTCCTCATCCCCTCTCTTTCCTTCCCTTCCCAGAGTCTTATAACCACCATTCTACTTTCCAACTCTAAGAGATCCACTTTTATCCCCCACATGAGTGAAAATATGTGACATTTGTCCTTCTGTGCCTGGATTATTTCTCTTAACATAATGACCTCCCAGTCCATCCATGTTGCTGCAAATGACAAAATTTCATTCTTTTTTTCTGGCTGAATAATATACCATTGTGTATAATTTTTCTCTGAATGTTTGGTAGAATTTAACTATGAAGCTTTGTAGTCTTGGGCTTTTCTATATAGAGAAGTTTTAAATTATAGTTGTCCTTAGTCCATTTGTGTTGCTATAAAGAAATACTCGAATGTGGGCAATTTGTAAAGAAGAGAAGTTAATTTGGCTCATGGTTCTGCAGGTTGTACAAGAAGCATAGCACTGGCATCTGCTTCTGGTGAGGGCCTCAGGCTCCTTCCACTCATGGTGGAAGGCAAGAGCAGTTGGCATGTGCAGAGACCACACGGAGAAAAGGGAGAGAAAGAGAGAGGAAGAGAGAGAAGAGGTGCCAGGGCCAGGGTATGGGGTGCACCAGTGGATTGGACCCTAGGAGGCAGGACACAGCAACGGCTCAAGCAGGGATGAAGGGGAAAGCTGAAGGTTAGGCCTGAGTGCAGGGTACAGTGGTAGCACTGACTCAGGCCCCTAGGGCAGTATGGTGCTGTAGTAGCTCAGGCTGTAGGGGGTGGGACACAGTGGCAGCAAGGCCCTGGGAATCGTGGGGAGCAACAGCGACTCAGTCTCCAAGGAGAATGGTGCAGCAGCTACTCAGCCTGCAGTGGACATGGCCCTGTGGCAGTGGGGACAGCTGTGTGGGTGTGCAGGAGCGGAAATGGCAATGCACAGCAGCAACTTAGTCCTTGGGAAGGCAAAGGCCACAGCAGCTGAGGTCCTGAAGGGCAGGGTGGCATAGTACAGTGGGAATTACGGTCCCTAGGAAAGCAGGGTGCCACAGTACCTCTGGCCCTGAGGGATGGGGGCTGCAGCAATGGGACCTTGCAAATGGTGGGCCACAGTGGTGAGTTAGGTTGGGGGAAGGGGAGCAGCTCTGTGGAAGCTTAGTCTCAGGAACAGGGAACAGCAGTGACTCAGGCCTGGACATGACATGACACTAGGTGGCCCAGGCCCTGGGCGCTGGGGTGCAGTAGATGCAAGGCCCCAGGTATGGAGGGATGCAATGGCTACTGAGGAGGGGGTAATAAGGCACAGCCTTGGTTCCTCATCTGGGCGAAGGGTAGCCGTGTGGACTCTGGGCATCTCTCTCAGTTCAGCTCAGTGTGGGTGAAGGCTGCAGAGACCCCCACTGGCAAAGTCTGCAGGAGTGCACAGAGGTGACAAAGGCGCTGAGGCCCTCCTGACCACCTTTCCCTGAAGGGAGGAATCCCTTCTGGGTCCTAGCTCATCAACAGTTGGGGAACAGGGTGACATGGTCTTCTGTCTCTTGTATCATGGTTCCCAGATCAGTCTTGAAGACAGAGTTAGGTATTTTCCAGGAAACTGTGCTCTGATAAATGTTTCACAGGCAGTAAATTTCAAGAGGCCAGAGCACAAGCCCTCTACTCCCTGGTCAGCCCCTGGTGGCTCCTGCCCTGGTTTCATCACAATCTCTTTCTTTGCCTGGCTCAATAGCGTGCCTTGCATTAGTCTCTTGAACCTGTTTCAGGAGCCCTGACTTGTCTCCTATATTCTGGCCCAGAAGTTCTAGCTGTGTGTTAAGTGAATCCTGCCACCTGGTTCTTTCGCACGCCCTCAAACCAAAACTGAATTTATCATATTTCTACAATCTCTGGAGTCCTTCTCCCCTGGGAGGCACTCGATGGTCTCCTCTAAGGAGCCCCTTGAGCTGGGGTAGGCCTCAGAACGAGTAGGAAAGCGTGAGCACCTCATGGTCCATGCATTCTGCCTCACCCTACACAGAAGAGGCTGCTGTGGACAGAAGGTTGAAGAGGAGCAGCTGCACTAACCACATCTAAGTGATCAAGGCTGCACCAGTCGAGGTGGGGCCATGCCTAAGCTGCTGTGGATATCGTCCAGATGCTACTTGCTTCATCATGTGAACTTTCTTCTCCTAATAAGTCTCATCTTGGCCTGCTTTGACTATTGTTACCTGGACCCACAGAGCCAGGAGCTGAAGAGCCTGCCAAATGGGGTAAGCACAGCTGTTAGAGAACTCCACGGCCGGCAAGGCGTAAAACCATCAAGGAGAGCGTATCCCCAGCCCGATGTACTGACACCCTCCAGACCAGATGTCCTTGTTGTCGCACAAGCTGAATGATGACGCAATATTAACCCTAGCGTCAGTATAGTGCTAAAATATCTGCCTGGGAGGCATATCTGCCATTTTTTGATCGTGGGAGCATATGTACAGCATGATTTTCACTGCACTTACATGGTCTGCCCTATACCCCAAAACACACAATGATGCTGACACCTCATGCAGTATTCATTTCACTACACAGGAAAAGCCTGACCCTGTTGGTCAGGGAAGTGTGAATTTGTGGCAGTTCTGCCTCTCTCTCCTGTTGACACAAGCCACGGAAATAAATCTTTTCTTCATTGGCAATACTCACTGTAACAGTAAGTGGCTTTTCTGGCCATGGCCACATTGATCCTGTGTGGATTTAGAAAGAAACATGAGATTATGTAGAGGGCTAAATACAGGAAGCATAGGCATCCCTGAGGTGAAGAAGAGAATGTACAAGGCCTGAGAAACCTATTTGAGGGAATGATTGAGGAAACTGTCTGGTCTTGCTAGAGATTTAGACATCTAGATACAAGAAGCTCAACAAACACCTGGGAGACTCATCGCAAAGTGGAAATCACAAGACACATGGTCAAGACTGGCCAATGTCAACAAAAGGAGTAATTCCTACACCATAAAGGAGAATACATCAGAGTAACTTCCAAGAAAACCCATCAGGGCTAATTGCAGACTTCTCACAGAAACGCTTACAAGTCAGAAGGAATTGGAGGCCATCTCAGTCTTCTTAAACAGAACAACTGGCAGCCTAGAATTTTGTATCTTGCAAAACTAAGTTTCATACAGGGAAGGAGAAATAAAGACTTTTCCAGACAAACAAACACGAAGAAACTTGTCAAGACCAGACTTGCCCTACAAGAAATACTCAGAACTGCATTATACATGGACTCAGCACAGTTGCACCCACCAGTTAAAACCACCAACAGCTAGAACTCGTCCTCATGTAAATAGAAGATAAACAACAAACAACACAAAAAGAGTAAACAAAGAAACAAGGTACTACCATTCGGATGAACAGAACAGCACCCACACATCAAAATCTATAAATCAACACAATAATTGATATAGGTTGTTGAGTGGATAAAAAAACACAAGGCAAATAGTTTGTACATATTTGGAGAGTACCTGTGATATTTTAATACATGTATAAGATGTGACACATAATCAAACCAAGGATTGGATAGATGGGAGCCAGCCAGGGGGTCACAACAAGGACATCTGGTCTGGAGGGTGTCAGTACATCGGGCTGGGGATACGCTCTCCTTGATGGTTTTACAAGTTGCCAGCCGCGGGATTCTCTAACGGCTGTGCTTACCCCATCTAGCATGCTCTTCAGCTCCTGGCTCTGTGGGATCAGGTAACTGTAGCCAAGGAAGGAGAAGATGACAGCTGCGAGAAGAAACCAGGTCACAAGCAGCAAGCATCGTTTTCGTTTCCCAGCCAACACCTGCAGCAGCCGGGACATGGTTCCGCAACCAATGGACTCTGCCTTTTCTCTCTTCCACGCTCTGAGGGTACTGAGCCCTCATCCACCTTCTACCCTCGGTGGTCTCCACGCCGGCAGCCTAGGCTCCCCCCGAACGGACTGCTATGCAAGGGAGCAGCTAGACTTGGGGGCACACAAGGCCACACCAGGGAGAAAGGCTCAGGTCCTAGTGGACCGCGATAAATTCAGTTCCAGGCTGAGGTTTCTGAAAGTACCCAAGTGGCCACGCTTAGTCAACAGTCAACTATAACTCAAGGACCAGCATTCAGGAGAGAAGTCAGGGCTCTGGAAACAGGCTGAGGAGACTGGCTCAAG